TGTGTGGGTGAGTGGGTGGGTTTGAATCGCGTTGTGATCACCTTCTCCTAGCGTTACGTGAGGTAAAATAGGTATTTGTTTTGACACTAAATGAGGCAGAAGCAGGCTACTGAGATGGTTTTTCTAGGCCTTCAAAGAAAAGACGCTGTTTCTATGGATGAATTGTCTGATAAAGCCACCTCCTGACTTGGACGCTTCATGCCATCTGCCTGAAGTAATTGCACACCTCAATCCAGCCTACGAAGGCAGCAAAATTTCGTAAGAATTCCCCTTAATTAATCCCTTACTCCGGTCAACATCCATTCCCAGCTTAAAAATAAACAATCTCAAAGCTCTGAGGCCAAAGTAGCCCAGCTCAATCCCAAAAAGGGAAAAGGAGATTGATTCTGGGGTGAGATACGTGAGTTAACAAATTACGCAAAGGTTGTATCATGTAGGCTATTATAAAATGCAAAAAGGGGATGCAACACGTAAAAAGGGAACGCAATAGCCTCAGTAGTCATCCTCCTCATCTGGGCGGTAGTTGGCCATCGCGTTGATGCGATCATCCACCGCGTAGATGTCCATCACCTTCAGTTGGATTTGCTCCACCGTCTCGCGGGAGAGCGAATCCGAGATGGCCTGACAGACGGAAGAGTAGATAATTAAACCTTTTTTATTCAAATTACATGAAAAAAGATGCTTCTATCTCATAAATCCAGTTGTTCATTCAATCGTCCCCCATTTGAATCACTTCGATGCCATTTACTCGTCTACTTGTTAACCTACATATCTATCGCTGAATCCTTTATTAATTGGCTCATTCATGCATCCACTCACCCATCCATCTATTTTCCAAGGAAACTGAGAATCGTCTAAAAGGCAAACTCAGCCTACCTGCCACCACGCACTCTCCGAGTGCCTATTTCCTGGCACCTCCACGCCGGCAATGCGCAGTGCCAGGTGAAGAATCGACGCTGCGATGTACTCTGGTGCGTAGTCCACACAGAGCGGTGCGTGGTAAGAGTCCATTAAGATGGCCCAGGCCAAGCCGGGCAGGCGAGCCAACGCCAGTGCGCTGTGGCTTGCGTACACGCCACCAGTGTCCACGTCGCCGTCACCGGCCCCAGTCTCGGGTGGGTGGGCGATGCCCTTGCCGATCCAATGGAGTAGGGCGGAGAGGTAGTGCAGGAGGTAGGCGTGGGGCAGGTCAGCGCGCGTGCGAACCGCATAGCCAAGGAGGCGCATGAGGAAGAGCTCTGCGCTTACGAGGCTGACACGCAGGCGGTCGTACTCCTCGCCCACCTCTAGCGGAGGGCGCTTTGTCTTGTGCAAGGTCCTGTGGAAGATAAATAGAAAACTGGAAAGCCCAAAAAACGTCTCATTTTCACTACCAACTCTGTCGTCCACAAAGTACATCTGCATATTCAGTCTTATTCATCCCTTCTCGATGAAATTGTCCATTTATCCACTTCCGATTTTGAGGTACACCTCCGATCTATTCGGTCCGATCCATGCATGCTCGATTTACTCACCGCTGACATACCCACACACCACGACCCCATTCATTTAGCCAGCATCTATACATATTTGATTCATCCACCTGTTCTGCACCTATTCATGTGCCAATCCTTTAAGTCTGAATTCGCCTGGCAGTTAGTTTGCTCCTGCCTCTATTCATTCACCAATCTCTGATCCACTCTAATCCATTTGACTGGCATCCATACGTCCTGATTCGACTCGCCCATCCACCCATCCATCCATCTCAAATGCTCCTGTCTATTTACTTTGCTTATCCATTACTTCTCCACTCGTCCAGAACAAAAACAACCAACAGTTCATCTCAATCCACCCACCCTCCTAATTCATTTATTAACGTCTTCCTGAATCACCCAACAATCCCTGACATACACACCAAAAGGATAAGAATAAGGGCAATTTTTTCTAAAGAATGGATAAAAATATAGTAGAATAAAAGGCTACCCACCTGTAGTAAGCGACGATGACATCCCGAAGGCGTTGGTGTTCCTCCTGAACCTTAGCCCCCAGACTGATGCAAGCCATCGCCATGGTCTGAGGGGCAGAAAAGTAGAAAATTATTGCAGAGGGGAGTTTACTATCCTCAGCAAAATATAGACCAGTAATTGTGATCAAAATACATGATGAAAAGTTCAATAAGGATACCGAGTGGAAGTAATTTACCATGTGAGAACTGGTATTGGGTCACCAAGTGGGAAAAAATTCTATTTTATTAAATACTGCCAGGTGTTGGACAAGGAACTAACCAACCCAACGCCACTGCTAACAAGACTGAGACCAACATGGACCCTACTAAGTGGTGTTCCACTCACATACGGATCAACATCTCCCAAGCTCGACCTGATCGAGCCGTCAATGGCCGAGGGCAGAGGATTATCATTGGTGACCGAGTAGGTAGCCGGCTGAGCAGCGGCCAACTCTGAATCTCCTGACATTGTCATGGCAGCGAATGGTCCCGTCTCCTCACCGACGGTTAGCACACGGACCATACGGTGAAAGAGAGTGCACGCAGTGGCCACCGCGCAGTCACTCATGCCCAACCGTCGACCAGTCTCCTTTATTGTCTGGATGAGAGTGAAAATGGCCGAGGGGGTGAGTGGGGGACGCTTAGGCACCGGAAGACGCACTGGGGGTGGTTGACGCGGTACCCCTCCCCCAGTGGAGGAGGAGGGGATGGAGGACTGAGGACCCAGGACTGGTCGGTTGGATGTTGGTGAGACCGAGGACATCGCTCTTCTGTGAAAGAGGAGAATAGGTGTTAACTAAACCTTATAACCATTCAGACGGAAGAAAGACATTCTAAGCATTTAAATTATTCAAGGGAAATCGCCAGACATAATTCAAGCATCGGAGATTCATGTTCAGAGATTCAGTAAGTTTTTAAAAGACCAATTTTAATTACCAATCAAATCATGCAGCGTTAAGCAAGTTTGCTGAGGTAGCTACAAAAACGTCAAACGTAACACGAGACAAAGCAAGCACCAAGAAAAGCAGTGGCAATAGGTGTGTATGTCTTTATTACAGTTTTGCGTAGAATGAGTTGAGGGAGGGGATAGAGTATGTGCGCACACATCAAGCGGCACAAAAATGGCAAAATGAGGTGAAGCAGGGAGGGGAAGGGGGGATTGGACGAGATAGGAAGGGAAAATGGATATGGGAGAGAGCGAACCCGAATTCAGCGAGTCTTGGCGCTTGAATAGAGAAGAGAGGGGCAGAGACGTCAGACAGTCATAGTCAACTCTGTATCATCCACATTTACGCCATCGATAATGTCGACGTCGTCCAGATTGAGGTTGCTGCCACCCTCCACAACTAACGAGGTGGTAGGTGTAGGGTCTTCCCCTTCATTAACCTCTCCCACCCCCATCTCAAGGTTACCACGGGGTGGCCAGGGTGGGGGTGATTGGTTGGGCGGTGGCGGTAGTGGTGGAGGTAGAACCATCTCCTTCACTACGAAACCATTGTTGAGGGGTCGCTTGACCGATGTCAGCACACCGATCAGGGAGGGACTGATTGAGACGTCACCAACATTAGTATCCGAGGTGAGAGAGTGCAGTTCCAGGGTGGATTCCGTCTCCTCCACATCTACCTCCCGTCTTCCTGTCTTTTCCACTGCGTTTAGACCGTCTCCCATCTCCAGAGAAGTGGCACTGAATGGAAAAAGGGTGGATTTTGGAGGGATTGCGTCCCCGTTGGCGCTAGAGGGTTTCGAGTTGTAGGTGACAGGGGAGAGAAGCTTTCCGTTGAAGAGACTCAGGTTCGCGTAGCCGGGGGAAGAGCTAGTATCATTGCCTAAGAACGAACTGCTGTCATCTTGCTGCTGCATCTCCAAGAGGAACTGTTCCATCACCGAATAGATGAAGTCGAGATCAGCCTGAAGAGGAACGTGGAAAACAGGATCTCAGTCAGAAAACCAACTAATGAAGAGGGAGAAATGGGGGAGAGATGAGTCATACAGGAGACTCGAAAATGCCAGTTCGTTGAAGATGCAGCATCTTGACGATGTAGTAGACGTCGATGTAGCCAGAGAGAGTGAGTTGATTGATTAGGAAGTTGACAGCAACGAAGATTCCAGCGCGATTTCCGCCGTAGCTACAAAACAAGTGAGAATTAACGCATGGTCATGGTTTCAAATTGTCTAGGTAGACATAAACACAAGGTACCTGCATACTTTCGCTTACGAGCGGTTACAAGTAACGTTTCTGCGTTTTTTTGCTGCTGAAATGTTTCAAGGTCTTTCACGAAATATAGACAGAAAGATGGAAGCTCAAAAAAAGTCCACTGCAGGGATCGTTTACTTGAGTATCCGCTCATGGGCAATAAAGAATAGATATTCTCGAGGTTTGTAGTTAGATGAAAGCTTCAAGGCAACATCAGAAAGCCAGTCATGCAAAAATCCAGAAGATCCAACGAATTCCGGTACAACTTTGTTCACAAAGTAGAACTATGTACGCTGCTACTCAGAACTGGCAGCACATTGAAATATCACTTCAAGGGGAAAAGAAGCCGAGATTGACAACAACAATGCAAAGAAAGTCCATTATATATCAATCTAACGTCTACACACTTGGGGATATTAATAAGTCAAAATATTTATTGAAAACAACAATAACTGATGTTTTCGAGTCTTCTTGTCAGTCAGGACCGTTCTAGAGCCTTCAAGCGGACCGGCGAAAAGAGAGTACGAAAAATGCACAAGCTATCATGGTCTCTTAATGGACTACAGAAATTGTGTACTTGAGTCTCTTCACGATCATCTGAGCCTTTTAAGACTTCGAGACAGACAGGCAAGGACGACCACGCTTACATTATTCTTGCTCAAAGATGGTGAGAAATTGATGTGCCTGAGATTCCGGAATGAAGAAAGTGATTCATGAACATTCAATATGGGATAAACATAGACAGGAGTTTTTTTAATATATGAGACACTGGTATTAGCCAATTTTTCCATTCGCCGGAACTAGTTAAGACTCCTTCACGAATTGAAAAAAGGACGGAAAAAAAGCAAACCGGAGATAAGCGTAAAATCTACAAATACAAGAGCACAACGAGAACACATATTTATGTGCAAAGATGGGTGGTGTCTTCGAGCCACTCCATTAGTCAGACGGGAAAAGGAAAGCTCAACCAGACGACATTTTTGTTTGGCTCATGAACTAAGTCAATGATGTAGTCAGACCTTCGATATGGTCAGAGAGGTTAGAGACAGAAAAGGTTCTGGAAAATCTACTGGATACTATCTAGGAATACATGGACACGGCAGCAACCAGAACGGTTAAAGATTGCTCCAGACAGAAATGCAGACACATAAACAAGTCGGGAATAGTTTATTAACAAAGTGCCAATTGCTCTACGCTTACCTTGACTAGAACAGTTCAAAACCTTCCCACATAAACATATGTCATCCGATGGACAAAAGACGAAAGGAGATAAAACAAAGGCATAAATTAAGATACAAAAGTGTGTTCAAGAGCACTTACCCATCCACAACGATGGTAGACCCGTTGGCGGCGGAGGTGCGGTTGGAAACGAGAATGGAGTGGAGCCTGAGGAAGTCACCGCAGGCCTCCTCGGTGACGGTGATAGGCCAGGCGTGGAGACGCCACAGCTGACAGGTGAGAGCGTAGTCCTCGCGTGATGAGGAGAGCAAAAACTCGTAGCGTGTGAGACCCTCGCTCACCTCCTCGCTGTTGCAGAAACTCACACGCAGCCAGCCTATCTCTCGAGGCTAAAGCAAAAAAATGAAAAGTCCTATTTGTCTTCCACGAGTAGAGAGTGTTGATTGGGTGATCCCCTAGGCTACTGCATACTATTTATCCGGTATGAGCAACTCCCATGCAACCTATCATTCACTCCATACGTGGACCCACACGAAAATTAGACTATCAATAACTTCAGTGGTATACGGAATGTTATCCGCTCTCTTCTCCATCTTCCACCATTCAGCTTCCATGATGATGAGATATCATCCATGCCAACAGTGTCTCAGGCTTCCCATGTATTTCTAATAAAGCTACTTCCAGAACTGTGTGCCTCACAGCGTTCGGAGAAAACTTGAGTGCTACATTAGTGAACCGACTCTAAAAGAGGGGACACTTCTGGTTTAGCCGGACATGGTTACATACAAACCTAAGAAGGGGACATCTTTTGAGGATGGTTGAAGCCATCAAAAAGTTGTCGAGACTGAGCCAACTTTCTGGAGGATACACAGCTATGTACCTGCACTGACCTTTTATAAAGACCACATACTTCGATCTCCACGCAAGTGGCTGTATCAGGTATTGTGCAAACTAGTAACCAAAACACTTTTAGATGGGTACTATAAAATGACAGCTTTGAAGATAACTCGGGTGCTGTGCTAAATATTTTTGGGCAAGACTTATGTTGGACCTAAGTGAATAGAAATAATTACAGATGATGTCGAAACTCGTGGATTGGCCCAGCCTACTTACATCCTACTAGCAAAACAATGAGGCAGTGGAGGGTCAAAACCATGCCAAATAAGCTGATCGAGAATGAAATAGTGAAAACAGACTTAGACGGTTCTTCACCCAGCCATTCTACTTATATCTGCCTTATAGAATCCCAAATACGTAAGCAGTCCCTAACCAAAGGGCACTAAAGGCGTACGCAAGAGCAACCTACATCATGTACTTCTATTGGCCAAAAGTCAGGAAACAAGTCTGCTTGCTCGGAAGAGAGGACAACGACGAGGGATGAGTTCTTGTCCCACACCATGCGCCAGAAATCGGCCTCCGTGGTCCCGGGGATAGGATGTTGGGTGACGATGAACTCCTGCAGACGGTGGTAGCCCTGCACCACTGAGGCGTTGATGTAACTCGCGCCCTCCACACCACCCTCGCTGGGCAGCACGACACGACGCAAGTCGGTGGGCAGAAGACGACGCGACAGACGATTCTTTGTCACGTTTACAGGCTTCCGGGCTTCGGTAAACTCGTACACTCGGGGCAATTGGTCTGTGCAGATCTGTGAATGGAAGGAAGATAGCAGTTAACGCATCAGAATGTTGGTTTTCTACTCGCTCATATCTCGCATCCATAGTGGGAGGTCTACCTCTTCATTTAATCGGTGAAAACAGGCGATCTGGCAGTTTTTAGACCATCGCTAATCTCCCACCCTAGGACTGCTTTCGACTACTTACAGAGCCTCGTAGACCTGTTCGTACCTAGTCCAGATCACTAGAAGAGCTTAGCTGCTCTCCCCATACATTTAATGAGCAAAAATATGTGATCCGACCATCTGCAACGAGTCGTGTAAATCCTCTATGCGGTTGATTTCGACCAGTTGAACAAAAGAGATCTGCTTATGTCTAAAAGAGGATATTTCTTCCTTGTCACTATTAGATGAGGAAAGGATTAGCAGTTCAGTGATTTACCATGTTCTTAATAACATAGAACACCACACAATTGAAGAGATCATTCACGACCAGGTAAAAAGGCTTTCCGTGAGATATTTAGTTCTGTACTGTACTCTTGTAAAGCCTCGGCTACTCCTCAAGATGTAATAAGGCATGGGGTTATGCGAGCTACGGGACTGGCAGCAGGGCTGAATGCCAAGGCCTCATGCAGTCCCATCCACGAACGGGTGTTAGCAACCACCTAAATGGGGCGTAAGCGGACCTATCCAGGTTTAGAGCTGTAGGACGGGGAACTGAAAATAATTCTTCCTGAGGATGATTCAACTTCACCATAGAAGCAGGGAAGCAAGAAAGTTCATGAAATTTACCATGTGGCTCGGTGCAATGACTTGCCATAGCTTATGACGACCTGTCAAATGCAGGTGACTATTTGCGCGCATGCACTTATAGCGCATTCATTTGCGTCATTCTAACATTATTGTACTCTTTATTGTGCTGTCTGACATTTTCCTACCAGTTGCAATCCTAATCAAAAGGTGTTGGTCGAATCTGACGAATGTGACTCCAGCTTTGTTGGTTCCAAAAGTGCAGGGAGCCTCTCATCAAATTAGCCACGTTGAAGTTAGAAAGTGGGGTGATGGAATGTACCGTCCAGAATTTGGACAACCTGCTTCTTGTTAAGTCATTCAAGGAGAGGTGGATCATATTCAGGAAGGCCTTCTAGTCTTAAAAGTGAAGAATAAACTTCGATGTTACCGTCTCAAGAAGGGCAGTATTAGGCCTTTTGGGCCTACATCAATTTGAAAGGGAAGTCATGGCGAAAACAGCCAATCAAGTGGATACCACACGCCGGATGACAGACAAGGAGCTTTAAATGCCAAAAAGTTTAGTTTTTTTACTTCTTCAACGTAAGTTATGAAATTTACCGTGCTCACAGTTCCAATGGAAAATGGCTTTTGTATTTTCCCGATTCAGTACCCAACAGATACACGTCTAAGATACCGCTTCGTCCATCATTCGCAACAGTTGTGAACAAAATCCATCCACTCGACAGGATGCTAGTTGAACGCGCCCAATAATGACGTATACTTGAGAAACAACCAGAACTAGTGAATCAAGAAAACGCGAGACCTCATAGCTTATAGCGCAAAACTGACTCGAGAAAAGATCGCGTGCCACTCTTTAGGATAGAAAAAGGGGACAAGGTACAGTCACATCATCAGCTCATCTTCCATACCTACCTGATGGCATTTCACCAAGGGATGACCACCACCTCCTATTCACATCACACAAGCAGTGCTGAATAGAATGGGCAGTTGGAAACGGAGTTCGGAACTTCATGTTTCCCTGGTCAATGATGCTAGTAATAGTGGCCATTCCAACGAATAAAATATGTGGAGCATTTATCTCCAGTTATTTAATTTCTGCCATTAAAACTCCACGACCTTATTTGATTACCCTTGAAGCAATAAAAGTCAAAGTGAAATTTTGGTATACTACATCCTTTAATTTTACACTTCATTATCCGCCACAAAACTCCAACTACTGCGAAGGAATAATACCAAGGAAGTAACGCTACGTTGAGACATTTTTAATGCCCTCTAAACAGATACTAATTCAGTAGGTCTAGTTAAAACTTTTAGCCAGGAAGGCAGCACTTCCTTCGTCAGGTTAGAGAGACTTCTTCAAAGCATTTTAACACATTCCCAGGAAGCTCATTAACTATGCCTCAAATTTAGTCAAAGAGAAGACAGGGAAAAAGGTGGAAAGATGAAATGTTTATTAGCGGAAGGAGGAGTGGCTCAATAACGCGATTGTGAAACAACCACTTCTAGCGGTTTAGGGAGACCTCGAAAGATGGAATAAGAACCCCCTGTGGAACGCTTGAGTCTGTCAAATGCTGCTGTTATAAGAATCCCGTGCATATCAACAAGTCCTAAATAAATCTCAACTTTTGTTCCCATGTATGGTGCTGTCTATCACTGTTGAAGTCATAGGAAAGGAGTAAACAAGTGGGAAAGTTTTAAGCAGGTAGAATGCTGAAAGGAGACATCAAAGGGGCGAAGTAACATTAGTGACTGAGTAAAACTAAAGCTTCACAACTGACTGATGTCAAGCGAAGAAGGAGGACGGAGAAACGCATGTCCAAAAACACGATCTTTTGCCTACAAGCCACCAAAAGGAAGAGCTGGATAACGTCGCATTCACGGTAAGAGGAGACTAGGAAATTCGTGAATTTCAAGTTACGATCTGGTACATCATTCTGATTTAAACAAAAAAATCTTCCATTCTGCAAAAATACTGCATCCAGTATCGCCTTCCCCGTTGGGTGACTATCACGGGAATGAGGTGAGGAGGCAACATCAAATTGCAATTATGTAATGTTCGGTTTTGTAAGTTAAAAGGAAAAACAGCAAAAAAATAACAACTAATTCCTCTTAAATAAACAGTATATTAAACTCGAAATAGCTATTTCGGAGACACAGGTACTCTGCTAGCTTCATTTTTTTAGGAATCGACACCTCTATTTGGCACATTTTAGGCAAAAAAGTGATTTGCAACCCTGATTCAACCATCTAACCATCTCACAGAAGCAGTAGGTAATCAGAAACGTCAACAAGACGTTAAAAAAGAACACATTTCTTTAAAAACTCGGATGTGATCATAGATAAGCCAAAAGCTTGGAGGATGGGAGTTTTCCATCTGCAAAACCATTAAGGTATGAATTCGAGAGTAACAAAGTTGGCTGTGATTAAAGCGGTAGGGGCGAAATAGAAGCCAAGGTGGTAGTTTTATAGTATACGGTGAAGGCGGAAGAATGCGGAATGCACAATGTGATTACCGTTGTCTGACAAGCCGGTTCACCATGGGAAATAGAAACAGCACACTGGTCATTTGGCGCTGAAAATATGCGTGTTGTGAAGACAAATTCATAGCCGTCAGCACATATACTAAAACTGTGGGTAAATTACTCACTCTAAGAGTTGCTTGTGAAGAATTGAAGTTCTAAAATGACGTTGTTGGTGTAACGGACTCCAAGCGCCTCGGACATTCAGTCGTCTGGAGCCATGAGGAACTACCATAGGTAGCCGAAACTACTTTACGATGAATGGTTGAAGATAATGCAGGATTGCTGAATGCGAGTACTAGAGCTGCCCATAGGTCAAGTGTGCCTCCCAGGTGGGTGTGTAAACAATCGACAGTGGACTTTTAGGGTAAATACTGGGATATTTCTGCCCAAGTGGTGGAATTAGGTAGGCGCACTATGAAACCACACTACAAGGGACAGATAGGGGGGATGTAGAAAACGTGTTTTGGATAGCACCTTTCTATTCCACTAGAACTGTTAAAAAACATCGGATTAGTCCATTAAGGGGTGGCCCAAATATTTTTATGAATGGGTATTCCTATTCCGATTCGAGGGCAACACATTAGAAAAAAATGTAGCACTGGAGCAAAGCTATTAGTAGTAGGGGATAAGGAATGCGAAAGACGTGGTCGATTCAATGCTACTGAAATAGGAATGCGTAGAGCCAGGGATGATAAAAACTTGCCTCAAATTGTTTCTGCAACCCAGTGACCCCAGCGGCATCGGGTAGGCGCAGACACTGGACGTAGGCGGGGAAAGACATGGCCAAGATTTCGTGTTCCGGACAGAGCAAATACTCACGCAGTGCGTCGTGGATGAAGGCATATTGTTGCTGGCAGGCATGACAGAAAGATGACGCCCATTAAATATTCCAAGGTTTAAGCAAACAGAAAAGATGGATTAGAAAAAAGAATTTCAGTTTATTATCTCAAGTACCAATCATGATTTCAAAAAATATACACATCGGACCTCTAAGAGGTCATGAAATGGCTAAAGGACTAGTGGCCAACCCATTAGTATGCTATGAGGTGTGTTATATACTAGAGGAGTGCAAAAAAGCTTAGGAGACTCGTTAAAACCAAGTGTTATACCAGGTACAGAAATACAAATCCTCTCCAAATGCCCTATCCAGGTGAACTTACATTTGCAGGTTAGAAACACTCGTCATAGTTTGGGCTCCATCGTATCTCAAATAGACCAAACTAATAGCAGCATTATTTTACCGGCCTAGCAGCGATAACTTGATTCGAAGAGAGGTGTCTTCTATACATCGTATACAATGTCTGAAATGCGTAGTGAATACCATGAACAAATAGCTGAATTCACCCCTTTCTGAAGACATTGTGAATAGCAGCAGGAGTAATTATGCTGGGGGGCAAATTCACTTCCACACTATCCGTTTATCAAAGATCGCACCATCCAAGACCAGCGATTCCTTAAATGCCTCTGAGTACACTAAATTTTTTGGCAAACGGAGGAGAGGAGAAAACCCATTCAGCGAATTACCGCCATGTCCGATTTACCACAAACGTGGAAAACGCAGTGGAAAGGAGGTGGATTTTAATTTGAAATTTGATCAACAGCAAAGAAGAAAACTTCCAGCACTACCAAGAGAGTAGACATGAGCCGCGGTTCACCGGATGCCACTCAAATGAGTTGCAAATGTACAAATTTGTACAGTGGAAAATGATTTGTCCTCCAGTAACCACAGATCAGGGCACTAAACAAGTTTAGTTTCATCTAAAAGGTAAATATTTGAAGACACAAAATTTTGAACGGACTCATTCCAAAATTCGATTCTTCACGAAGACGTAAATCTGCCAGGAGTGGCAAATTTGCGGCAAACTTCAAACCACACAGAAATTGTAACGAGCTCAAGGTAATAATGCATTTGGTATCTTGAATGGATGTATTATGAAGCATCGATGAAAATGAGGCGATCTGTCTCAACGATGCTCGTTGTAGTGCTCGCCAATGCTTCTCCTCTATTTCCAATCCTCATAAGATAAAATGACGGTTTAACAAAACTAGTGAAGGTAATTTAAGTTTATTTCATTGAGCAACCTCAACGTCGTTCCGAGCCCACAAAAGAAATGGTAGAGGTAAAGGTGGAAAGGAAGAGTATGCCGCCAAAAAGCAGTTCAAGTCATTTGATTCTGACGACGAATCATTCAAAGTTGCATCATAAAATGGTGAATAGACATGAATCGCTATCGATGCGTTAATTTGACATCAACTTCCCAAGAAATTACAAGCAACCTGATTGACGATTAGACGACTTTGTTATATCTACATCAACTGGGAAGGGAAAGTCGTGATAAAAGTTGCTAAGCGAATAGCTTTCACAAGTCACAACTTAATGGATGGCAGACCATAAGCGTAAATGCCATCAGGTGGTCCTTTATCCTTTCGCATTTGCCATAAAACGCGTCGCTGCTGCATTGTTTACCTACCGAATTCTAATGACTGGCTTTTGTGTTGTAACATTCGTCAGACGAACGACCGTTTTATTGGTCCATTCCATACGATTCACTCAATTTCACGCACACTTTCGAAGCACACACCACTTTATCCTCCCAAAGCATCACTACGTTTGCCTGAGGGAGGCACAAATGTTGACTTACTGAGGAGATAGCCAGCGCTTGCACCCGGGGTCTATCCGCACAACCGGATTCAAATATGCGTAAGGGGATTCTCCGCCTCAAAAGTGGTCAGGACCAGAGCCAGGATCAGTCAATCGACGGGAAAAAAGTTAGCTTCTTGGACTTTAGGATGGAAGGGAGAAAGGCACTGTCTCACCTCATCCTCATCTCCATGCTTCCTCGATGATATTTTAGTAAGCAACGGATATTAACTTTTGACGGTTTGGAAAGTAAAGTTGGCTGGGAGCAAGGATGGCTGAGGTCTACGTTTCTTCTCGGCTTTCAGAGACGAAACGTCTTATACCAATGGAATTATAAAATGTACAGGTGACCATTTTAACGGACAAATAATGTTAAAAAGTTTTTTTTTTCTTGATAATTTTTACCTGTTTTTTTTTCGATGCATTCAGTGAATGAGAAGGCATTTGAAAACGTTTTGTGGAAAAAAGAAAGAAAACAACTAACTCAGGCAACGTCAAGGTTTCAGACCTGAACCACAATCCACATCCCAACCATCCTTAGCATCGACTGAAATCAAGATGCAGTCTGCATAACTGCCAAGAGTGAAATGGAAAATTGTATGTGCATTGCCGAGTTTTCACACACAAATACGCACAGCAACGCATCAACAGGGCGAGTCTCGGGTAGCACCAGGCATGTATCAAAACTTTGCCCTTAGAATACGCGTTTCGTTAATGGCCAAAACCCTGAAACAACCCGGGAAAAATAGCTACATTACTCCATCCAAGGGTGAAAAACTCCATGCTGCATCCTCATTCGACCGTCACTTAATCTTACCAGTGGATCCACCCCTCCCCTTTCTTATATACTCCTTCATTCAGAACATGAAGTTTTCAAAGGAAATTACAAAAGGAGGAACATGCGTTCATGTACGGCACAAATTTGGAAAATGGAGGTGGAGCAGAGAGCAGTCGACGAAGTTAGATTGGAGGCAAGTATTGGTGGGTGCGCATCGAGCACCCAAACAAATTGAGCCATAGAATAGTCCATATTTCCGGCTACTTGTTGGAAGTTCAATGAAAACCAGCAAACATAGAAGGTGAATGGAATCTGGAGAAGCTTTTCTGATCCCAGGTCGCTCTGAACGTAAATAACACTTCTCATAGGCACATTCTTGAGTATAATTAATGATTCATCAGCTTCAACGAAAAAAACTCTCAATGGGGACTTATGACGAACGGCTCCTATTTCAAATTTTGTAGAATTGTAAGAAAAAACTCCACCTTTTAGGCTTCAGGAAATAAAGCATAAGATTCATTGTGTTATTGGCTTCCAGTCAGCTCCTTGAACAGCTATGGAGATTGATGGAAACGAAATTAGTTCAGTTCCATTTGATGCTAGACTATTCTGACTTGTAACTTCGTGTTTTGCGTGTTTGTGTAGAAAAGTAGTTTGTAGCATCTTCTCCAAATGATGTCAAGTAATTGCAAAACACTATGAAGGTTGACACAAGATTAACTTGATCCCAGCTTAGGTAAAACAAAAGTCCCACCCTTCAAAGATATAGTCTAGAGGACGGTCGATAAGTGACCAAGCCCATCCCTCAAACCCAATTCAAATTCCACCAATAAGCACAAAGAGTGACTGGAGGCTAAAAAAGTAGGAAGCATTTGGTCATACCTCAGTTTGCACCAGCTTCATGCGTTGTTGACGAATGTGCTCAAGGAAGCCGCGGATGTTGACTTGTTTCTCCGCCTCCAGCTGGCGAATGAGGCTCTCAATGCAGATGTACGTGCCCGTTCGACCCACGCCAGCGCTGAAGAAAAGGGCAGAAGAGGCGATCCAATTATACACCTTAGGAAATAACACAGAATGCTGGATCTTGAGGAACGCAAGAAAGCCAAAGCAATAAGTCTCGTGCTACCCTCTGTGGAAGATTTACCTGAACATTTTACATGTCACCTCGACCTACTTACTTATAGCGTCGAGCAATCTCACAACCAGACTTATTCGCGTCTCGTGGAAACAATCCCATAAATTCTGTGTATAGTTGGAGGAAACGCCACTGGGCGCGGGAATTAAAACTAACTGAACACGCACAACCACCTCGTATTTCATATACCCAGTGGATAAGCTTCCTCCTCCTTTTCATGCCATCTCGACCACCATCTACTAGTTGGCATCGACCATGCGTGCGAATCAAGGTGGAAGGATATTCACTCCACGGCTACTTCTATCAAACCAAAGGGTTCGACAGATGAAGCCAAGGCAGAATCAACCATTTAGTGCATCCGACCAAAGCATGATAATCTCGATAGGGAACATGCCTGGTCCTCATTAATGGGGACCAAAGAGCCATTAAAGCCATGCAGATAAGTTTAAAAAAAAAAACAAAATATCCCTTTTCCAGGAATACAACTTCTCAAAATCCACAAAATGAGCGTAAAAGGTGCATTTTAGCAACAGTGGTGGAATCGAAGAATGAGTGGTTGGTTGAATTGACATTCAACGGCTATTTACAGCAAGCAGAAAAACCCAAAATATTCCCATTCCACGTCGTTTCTAGAGATCAAGACTACAGCGAGATCCCCTAAAATCCACAAAAACCCCCCGCAACGAAACGGTCATCAAGTGGAAACATTTTCGCCACTACGAAAACCTGGATTTAGGGAAATCAGCCAACGGTGAATCCATCTATAGTAAAAGTTCTTTTTTGCCATCCAGACCTTTAAAACCGTCCTCAGCGAAGAATCTAAACACTTGTTTCTATTTGGTGAAAAGTCAGTAGAGTTGCACGAGTCAAATTTTCCACAAAAACCACTGGAAAAAAACCTTCAGGAAGTTGATTTGACGGACCCCGTAAAAAGAAAAAAATTGAGACACAACTGGAATAATCCCTCTTGATAGGATAAACAAATTCCGATCTGTAGGTTCAGATCATGTTTGATTTCAAAATCCAATGGGCAAAATTAAAAGTACAATGGAAGTTTGGAATACCAACCAAACCCAGGTTCAAGCTGCATCAAAATCGAGCACCGAGTTGGTAAACTCGATTCACGTAAAAGAACACTTCTAGGAATAAACAGAACATGCATACTTAATCAGCATCCATCCCACCTCCAAGATGTGGTTTTTAAACAGGTCATACGACCTATCTACACAGAAATACGCCTTTCCATCCTGGAAACCGCAGCCCTAAGCGCACACACATGTGAATGAGTCACGAGAGGGGCCGGACAGAGAGGGGGGAAGATGAGGCAGGGTGAAGTGGCGTCTGTCGGGCATGCGTACAGTGAACAAAGGCAAGGACGACGAGATGAGGGTGGAACAGGGTGGAGGCTGATGTGACTCAACTCCAGACGCGTAGGCGAACGTACACGTCTGATTAGGGCCGGTGATGCAAGAAACAGAAAACGCCTTGGCTGGCCCAGTGGTTGCAAAGGTCGGACGGTGCCGGTGATGGTAGTATTACCTCAAAGCAGGTGGTGCATCTCGCGGAACCGTACCGGAAAAAGCGGTGTACAAAAGATGATGATAGGCATGTAAGCCAAAATTCAGATCAAGTGAGTGCTTTTGAGCTGTGAGAGCGCAAGATTGTTAAACACAGTTGGTGTAAATGATTGACTTCAGGACGGGAAATCAGCAACGCCACTCAATATTCTTTTCTGCCTTTAACTAGCTGAAAATAACCTTACCTCTAGACGATTCTTTCAAAATCCAAATGTGCTCATTGTAAAACTGTCAACCATTCAAGGACTCTCGTGAGTGGAAGTGGAAGCGATAGAGGAAGTCCACGGTGAAAATAGGGGCTTTGTTACCAGTTATTGTATTCATTGTAGTCACCACTTCTTTTTTGCCTCTATTTATGAAAACCTGTCCCTATTAGTATCTTCAGAGATTACCTCAGTGTAACAATTCTCGAATGATTGCGATTAGACGACCGGAAATGAATCAGTTCAACTAAAAAGGCATTTCGACCCAGATCCATGCGGTGCAAATGTCGACAGGTCTGTTAGCAATTGATAGCCCCCCCACCCCACATAGGTAAAAGGGCACTCTCTCCCCGGTTTTATCAATAATCCCAAAGCCTGGGCAGAGAGGCTTTGCACATACATCTCCATGGGAAAAAACAGGCGTGTAAACACATACAAACACACAGTCATCAGGAATGACATTTAAGAACACCAGTCTTAAATAGCCCATGATTCACCAAATTACGGTTGGAGAAAAGTGAGTAGAGAAATATTGTATTAATTGCAAGCCAAGCGGTCAGTGTGTTCGATATCAATGGGTCATTACACACATACGGGTGGTCACCCATTGACCAATCACGGTAAAGGAAAATTGCCCCTTGAACGAAGCAGTTATGAAGAGGTAGGTACAGGATGCCGATTTTTAAAAAAACCAGTCACAAAAAAAACGATAACACGACAATTATTTGAAGTTTGCCTCTAACTTCGACTACTACATTGGATTTGATGGGGTCCTGCTGGTTTTGGCCCAGCAAATTGTCCCTGCACGGCGATAATGAGCTTACTTCCAAACGAATGTTTCATAACGTCTTTAGAGATGGCTAGAACGCTACCTTAGTGGAGATTTCATTAATTGGATATCTAAACTTCAAAGAAGGAAGGCTACCGTGTCCGCTGGATAAGGAGAGGCTCACAACAGAGGGGCGATTGAATTTACGAAAATGTTTAGAATTCACCTCAGCCTCAAACAGCCGCATAATGAGCGGGAAAGAGGCAACATCAAGCCAGAACGATTGAAAGAAGTTCCTCAAGAAATCTACGGTGGTGCTTATGAAAATACCTTAGGTCACAAGAAACTGAGAAGTACCTCAAACTAACAGAGGTGGGATTAAATCGGAAGCGGAGAAGTATGAAACACTGAATGTAGGCGCATAAAGTTATTCACGTCTCTACGTCAGTCGGACACTTCCAGACTGATGTGTCTTATTAGGTCTTCAGAAATGGCACGGGGATTACATCAAGTTTATCTGGCAAAACCAAATGGTTAATTCGCCATAAAGCAAATGAGGGAGTTTGAGAGTAAATCAAGGCGAGGTGACATTCAATGGATGGTCAATTCATATTCTTTAATGAAAAGTTCAAAACCGATAAAAGAGGGAGTTAATAGCAAGAAAAGCAAACCTTTTGTGGGCGCTCTCCATTATTAGCACCTATTAGTGAAGTCTACTTTTCCTTCGCGGAAAAAACGGCAACCAAAACAAGAACATGGACACAAGTATGTTCCGAGCCACGACAACTGGAATTTTCCACCATGTCGCTATGCCGTTGTAATGGCATTCGACTGTCAGTGTGCGAAAACGCTTGTTTTCAAAATAGCGCGGTTGAGGAGCAAACTATTTTAGATATGTGGCGCATCGAAATGAAGAAAGGGGAAGGAGAAGCAACTTTTGGGAGGATAAAACATCTTGAGATGGTAATCTCAAATCAGGAGACATGTCCTTTCTGGAACCAAAGGAAGGACATATTTAAATTACAATAATCGCAACCCATTTATACCGACAGCGTGTAACCTGTACCCCCACCCCCCTTCTTGTCGCCAAAGAGCCGAAGCATTCAGACACTTGGCTCTATGCACCGCTCAAAAATAGCGCCATTCTTCGCATCCTTAGAAATAAGACCTGCTTTCGAGGTTAGGAAGAATGAATAAGGAACACCTGGTTAGAAATGAATTATTGTACGCAATCGGATCGCTGATGAAAACGACGAAACCACATCTACCTGTCTGGAAGACGTTCAGTGTCGCGATGACCAAACTCTCCACAGTTCTTTAATTCAAATTAAGACACCCCTTTGGCAATTTTCAGCACTGAAACGAAGCACTGAAGCAGATCTTCACAGTTAGTTGAATGGCTTATTAGCTTGATCCACCATAATTCAATGAATCCAGCCTCCAAAAGTTCGCTATGTGGCTTGCCCAAACAAGACATGGACCGATGTGCTGTGCTGTGCATTAATTAGCTAGCCCTGAGAATTGGTTCTGCATTCGAGCGCACCACAAAGGAAAGCACAAATAAAAGATAAAAAACCGAAAAGTAGCATCTGGAACAGAGATGCCGCAGTCTAGCACTATAAACTCACAAACCTGCCACCATAGGCTACAAGAATCGCAGAAATGGATAAAGAGGCAAAGGGAGCAGACCTGCAATGGACGATTATCGGCCCACGAGAAGGGGTCCACTCCTTAATGGTAGTTTTGACGAAGACCAACACAGGCAGTGGTGAGGGAGGGACGTCAAAATCGCGCCAATCAGTGTACTGGTAATGTCGGACGATCCTCTCCTTGGCAAACTGGAAGACAGAAAAGGTGGCTTACATCTCTGAGCCAGAGATCTAGACCCTGAAACAACCTTATGAGAAACATGTGCGATGCTATTCCGGGTACCAATGGTACTATCAATAATCCTTCTTACGGTTTGATAGAAATTCCACACATCAGATGGGACTTAGACCAGAAATTAATGGGGAAGCAAGTGATGCTCTTTCTATGGGCTCGAAGGCTGGATAAATGGTACTACTCCCATCCCTTGTAGTTCGATGGAAATTGCGAACATCCAAACGACTGTGTGCGACATCCCTAGACGGATTTTGCATCCCATCTGAGCAAAATGTGGACTTCGATTCACTCCAAGGCCAATGACGCCTATTTCACATTCTGTGACTCATTTATTTTTAAAGACTGTCAAATATTGCATTTGTCTGATATGATGTGATAAATGGCCTCATTGAGGACTCTGACGCTTGCTTTCGAATTCGTAGTGGTGAATTCATTAGGTGGCTCCACTGTCATTTGCTTAGCCACTCGCCTGGCACACACTTTGACGCATTAAGGACTGTCACGGACCAGAAACAGCCCCTCTTCAACTTCAAACCCCATGGTTAGTGTCGTGGCTGGTGGTTCATCCGCAGCGCACGGCATCCATCGGACTTGTACCGCCATACTTGACGTTTTAAAATAACCTAAATATGACTCTAAGAGGGTTACCATTGTCCCCTTACCAAGCACGACTGTGGAAATACGTACTCCCGGCACATAAATCTTCCTTCAGCCTCAATCGAGCACTAGTGTGGTGAAGACGGAGCCCTCCGTACATTCAGCAGGATACACCCATGAGAGGAAAAAACGACCCTCGAAGTTTGCTCGCGAAAAACAAAGTGACAAATGACAAGGAGGCACGAAAGCCAAGCGTGCTGATTTATGGCTGGCTTAGGTTCGGTAACAACATGCTCCTTAGCGGGTGGCTAAGCCATTGACAGAGGAGGTAAAAGCACAAGTATTTATGCTTTTTCCAGACACTTGACGCCTTTTCAGGTCACAGCTTTCTGTATCGCCGGTGTTGTCTCAAGCCAATGGTCGAGTTCTAGGCTTTACAATTTCTAAGCTGGCCTAGCTAAGTCCTGAAATGAAACGATGACCATGCAACAAGTTGGTACGATTCAATGTGAAGGTTTTAAACATTCCTCGATGAAGAGTTAGCTCACAGGCTATCTAGTAATTACGAAGCTCTCATAGGAACTTCGGCCCCCGATGAAGTGGACGACACATAAACTGGGCAAAAAAGGCGGTGATAAAGTTGGGGTGAAGAGCAGTGAAATCTGATCGCTTACGCGAAGACGTTAATACAGCCTCCAGGCGACACACAGATATTAAACCATAATGGTGAAAAGTGTGCTTAGCTAACTTTTAAAGATGACACATGCTTGCTGTTATGGGAACAGAGAATACTCAATCCACTCCAGTGTCTCATTGATGGATCCAACGAAAAAGAAAAGTGAGATGTGCTTTCGCACCGCCAATGCCGCTAAGGTGACTTTGTCAAGCGCGACTAAATGATGGTGCGAGGTAATTAGATGTGGTAAAGAAAGGCGACCCCAACCATACGAATGAAACAAATTTCGCCAGGACAAAAGACTTTTAGCACTCCATTTCTTTATACGATGCGATGTCACCTGGGTAATTTGCATTGCATGAGGGTAATTAGACCAACAAAACAAGGCGAACCAAGTAAATCTGTTGAAAGGTCAATGAGGCTAAGGTGAGAGGCAACCAAGGTCCAACGAATTCTAGTCAACCTCAGGGAAAGCCTTTCAATAATGTCCTAAGTTAAATGATTTACACCATGCTCGGAGAACGTAATATTCACATTTCTGTCACTGTGGCCTTCAACGGACTTCCCCTTGCAGAGGGCGTGATAACAGCATGTGCTACTAATAATAAGCGTCATTTTCTCCAAGGCGTAAATTCATCTTGTCATCTTGGACTGTCTGGCAGAATGCCTAAGACGGTGCTCAATAGAAAGGGCCTGTGTGGCAACTTGATACTTTGCTTAACCTTATGCTCGACTACGGGGACTCTCCAGCCTCCGTAGATTGTACTTTTAGTGAAAGGTATGGCCTTCCACTCATAACCATAGCCTCCTAGCCATTCCATACGTTACTAGCAAATCGCTTACAATGAAATGATTTAACACGAGTTGAGGAAAACTCGTGGAGCTAAATGATAAGCACACCGACGTGCATAAAAAGTACCGAAGATGAACTCATGCATAACCGCCAGTTTCATATTTACAGACATTATTACTACCAAGTATTTTTTCCTCAGCAAACTCGCCGTCAGAAAAGTGGGATTGTCTAGGGGATATTTGCATCCTGTATGCACGATGTTTCCAACTCTTGAGAGATCCCGTATAAAACCGAATAAAGGGAGTCAACCAATTTGACTGTTTTGATCCTGGTAACCGAATGTTAACACACTATCAGAGGTTGCGTCATTTACTTTTGGCAGGTCGGACGTCTTTCAGATGGTTCATGATCATTTTATTGGGTGCATGAAAGCACTAGAAATGAAGTAAAAATGGGGAAGGCTCACCTTTTTGCACTTGACATTCTTCACTAGAAAGACCCTCGCCACATAGCAGGCCAGGTAGTCCTCGGAGAGCATTTGAACACTGATGTTACCGTAGGTCTGCGGTCCGCTTGAGGGCCAGTACTGATCGCACTTGCGCTGGAGGAAAAAGATGAAGAGCGTTAGAAAGGGATTGTACTTTTAGCAGATCTTGCAGGAGAATGATACGTCTCTTCGATGTATGCGTGACCACACTAGCCTTTCTAGTCTCCCACAACCAGACCTCCTCAAAAAGACAATTTGGCCACCTACAGTAAACTTGATTTCATACCTGTGTAGATGTTGTGCGGCTGAATTAAGTCTGCTTGAATTCGGCCGTGAGGCTTAGCACAGAGGTACGATCACAGGGAACTGAAAGGGGAGGGTTATGTAGTAGGAGCTATGTGGACTTGGCATTGTGATGCAATCCCCGTGCCAGAAGTCTGCCCGGGTCACCAGTGCTGCTTTTGGATGGGTACTTTAAAAAGTCTTGAGTTGTCATTCGGAAACCGAAACTAAACAACGACATTCCTTCTTGCCTTACAGTCGTTTTTACCTAAATTGGGTACCATCCCGATAGCGGACGCAGAGGAGCAGTAATAGGAAGTGTTAGGGAAAAATATCAAAATAAGGTGGAGGTCAATTGGCGCCTGGATCCGGCCAGTCTTCTGCGATTTTAGCCCCACGGCAGTAGTGTAAGGTTAGGCTAGAACCGCTCCGCCTTTCTCTTCTTCCATGAAGCTATCTCAGGATAAGTTAGGGGGCTGTATTAACTCAAAATTTTACTTTTTGAAATAAAACTTAGTGAAAATAGTAGACGAATTTAGCTCAAGAAAGTCTAGAACTTTTGAAAAAAAATCTACAAATGCTTGTGCAAGTCACGAGATTTGACAAGAAGTGTACTTTGAATTTCACGTATACATATCAACGATACAGTGAATTTTCAAAACCAAATTCCAAGTTAAATTCTGACAAGGCAAAAGTAAAAATAATGTTATTTTGCTTAATTTTAAATAGGTCGAGACCCAACTGAGGCTAAACACTAACAGTAAACCAAGCAGATCTGAAAAAAAGGGGGTGAAAAGTTAAAAATGAGGGCTAATTGCATACTTGTCAGAAGTGAAACTAAAACACTTTTCAGTCGTCAAGGAAAAAAGTCTAGCCCCCCCCAGGCTGCTGACATTTGAAAGGAGATTATTTTCAAGGTGCACGTGTTAAGCTGCTTCTAAAATAAGAAGCAATCGGACTTCTGAAATTTCCAAGGTACTGTCACCTTCTGCATCGACTGGTCCTAACTTTCCAACTAAAAAAGTCTAAGCAACTCTTGATCCAAGGAGAGTAAATGAAATTTTGTGGAAGGCAGCATCTTGCCCCCTCTCTCTCTTACAAGACCAACTTAATCCTCCGCATCTTTTTGTTTTAATGCCAAAAAAAAATTACCCTTCTTATTTTCGCAAAAAAGCACGTTGGCTTGTGTCACTCATTACGTGGATTGTTTCAAGTGAATTTCATTACGACAATCGGATCAACAAGTCTTTTTCTATTAGTGGATACGGCAAAAGTTGGAGACCCGAAAAAAAAACTACGGAAGCGGTTACTGTAAATCCTTAAAAAATGAAGAAACAAAATCCCAAGGGACTTTTGAATGAAATCTACTCTGGGACTTTCCGACCGCACTCTATTCGTGTTGTCCAAAAAAGTACCCGATGTGTTTCTAGAAACCAAAGGAATTGAGATACGGTGGAAATGCCTATACAAGCCACCTTTAATTAGCTCCTTACAAATGACGAAGAAATGACTTCGCTTCCCATGTGGAGAAGTGCAAACACAGGAGAATTCTCACAAGCTCTCTTAATTTAAAACGATAGATTAGACTCGAAATAGCAGGAGCAGAAAGTGAGTCTCCCACAAATACGTAGTTTCTATTGAGTTGTTAGAGGCTAACTCGACTGAAATCGGCCATTAGCAATACGAGGAGCTAATAAAAATCGTAGCAGATTGTCATAAAACTTAACCAACTGACAATAAAATGAATAGCACGCTTTTTACTGGTTCCAATTAATGCTGGTGACTGCACTTGTTTTAGTTTCTACCAAATGTCAATGCCCTTATTCATTGGCGAACTCTCAAGGGGAGCAGGTCAATTTTAAGTCTTCAAAAGAATGCAAAGCAATCGTTCCCATAGCATCCGAAGAGGAAGGCCATAAAACCATGCATAAACTGATTTAGGGTTCCAAGAGAAGCCAATAACCCGTCATTAAGTTAAAAATTTTGGGGAAAAAGACAAACTGGATAGCATTCATTTACAATTTTCTGTTGGAAGAGGTTCACCCCTCTGCCACTTTACCAATCCAATTTGATTTCATGATCTTAAGAGAATTTCTACCTAAAACGCCATCAGTCTTCTTGGCCTTGGTTGATTTTAACATAAACAATTAAACTGTCCAAACAAACCTCCCTGCCTCCACTTCGTAGAGAAGTTGCTGTTCAATGTCAGCAAGGGCATGGATTACATGAAGCCAAAGACTTCACCGGTTCATTCCGTTTAGCTGAGCCGGAAGACATTCATGTATCCGGAGGTGGCGAAGGATCTACTACTGAATTGTACAATCGGCAAAATGTAATCTAACCTCAGATGTTTGGAAGCGTAATACCAGTTAAAGCTGCTATTGAATCAAAAGAAACATTCAAACATTCCCCAAATTGCTTACTAACAACAGAAAGTGGTTGAAAATTCTGGAATTGATCAGCATTCCAAGATTCATCAGATCGGGTGTCGGATCTCCTGTGACTAAAATACTCTAAGGCAAAGCATAACAGCGCAGGTGCCCATCCAACAAGAACCAACATATCAACCCACAACTCGTCAGAGCATACACTAGTGGCCATTTTCACCTGAAATAAGTCCGAGAGCGACGGACGCGATCCCCCCTCTCCGCCCCCCTATATAAGGCAATAATTAATCTCAAATGAACGAATGTCACGGCGACAGGCAGGGGTACGGACCCACGCATGGGCGAACGGGCGAGCAGGCAGCGCTTAATGGCCCGGAGGCTGGTGAGTGGTGTGCCCGCTCAAGGACGCGCCATTATTGTCCAATGAAGCACGAGGCACGCGCACGAACACACGCACTTACAACGTGGGCTAACACTTGTGCCTCATTAGCATAAGCGTTATTATTGTCGCCCAGGTTGATTCCCTTCGGGGCTTAGACTAGGAATACATGAGATTCATTTTAATGGCCCCAGTGCCAAGGTCTCAAAAGCAAGCAAACCACCACACCCTAGTTGCTTTATTGTTCCAATACGACATCAATTGCCACGGATGATAATTGATGACCCTGATGACAAAATCTCCTATTTTTGGGGGACATACTCATTACACCCTCAGCTTTAGGTAAAGTTCACATCTATCTTATTGTTTAAAGTTCAGCAGACCAATCTGTGACACGATTCGGTACAATCAGTTGGCACGAAGGGCATAATTTTACCATGAGGCGTCCTCGTTAATCCATTGAGATTTTCTGCTTCCCAAATTCATGACAACGTGCAACCTTTATAGAAGTCCCCGCGATAAATCTGACTTAAAAGATGTTAATGAGAGAAAACCTCCACCACAGGAAAGCTACGTCATGCAAGTCGTTTGTGTGTCAACTACAAGACGCATTGCGCCGTCGTCGTTGGGTAGTGATCGTCTGATTCCAGGAATTGCCACCTTTTCATAATACCATGAATATGCGCCTCTGTAAGGTAGATACTGGCTAAATTGGATACTGATCCAACAATGCTTCAATCCATTCGGGTTTCCTTTTCCACTTCTCGTGGTCGTGGACTCCTCGAGAGCTCTCTGTATTCGCCTAGTCAATGTAGCTCCTTTTGCTATTTTAGTTTACTTAACGCCTACCCTGCGGGAGAGTTTTGTCCTATGCAAAATTTCCGAAGCTCTTCCACAGTCGTTGTCATCCCAGTCAATAAAAAGTACTAGAGACATCCGGCCTAACCGAGGAAGCATTCAGATGGACACACTTAGGTGCTCCTTGTTCCGCCCTCATTGTTTCAAAAAAAGACACGCAGCGGGGATGCCTTTCAATTGCCATCCACAAATCTTCAACAAGTAACGCGCCAGTTTTACCCTCTCCCCAATTTTTTCTGTAACAGAGCGCCAAGTGATTCGTTCTCTTGCCAGGTAAGAGAAAGACTGATCAAATGAATTTGTGGCGTGTGAGACAGCTTTTCGAAAAGACGCTAATACCCAGGGCAAAATTCCATTGCGGATTTTAAAATCCGCCTAGGAAAGGCCCAGACGAATGTGATCATTCATTAAATATCAGCGAAAGTTCATTTATGGACTCAGTTTTCTTTTCAGGCAGAAGAGTGTAGATTCGATAAGGCGCAATATTTTAATCACAAACACATCAGTGCAAGTTGTAAAACCTGTCTTCCAAATCACCCATTTTGCATAAAAATCAGACAACTTTGAAGGAGAAAAGGGAAAAAGTCCCAAAATCAGATTAGAGCCTTCACCATGCCCTGCTCCTGCATTGTAGCACAATACGCTATTGTTTTTTGGCTCGCAGTTTTGAAAAAGGGCCCACTTTGATGCTCTGCCATCGTACATTCACGGAGTGGACTGGCCTTTGGACCGTGCCAGTAGTCCCTAAGTCCCCCTGTGTGTCGACAATGCATATTGCGCCCGAGTGTCGTGTCTTCCTTCGTCTTCAGGGAAGTCTCGAGGCGCTACAGTACAATCGTTTATAGCCCAAGCCTATTTCTGTACAGATTTCCATACAAGATAAGGGTTGCAATCTTTAATTCGACTGCGGAATGGAATGGTCAGCCTTTGTCTATCTTGCGTCAAATAATGGTTGTAATGACGAGGAGGGAGGCAACTCTTCTTCAACCACGAGAGCAGGAAATAAATCACCCCCTTCGCCCACACCAAAGCAGTGCCACCAATTGGACCAATTCCAGGAGTGTGTATGCAGAGAACATCACCACTGGCGTCTGCAGTTAGGCATCGTAGCAGACCGACCGAAAGCAGTCATCAAAGAGCGAGACGAAGAGGAAGAAGATGTACTTTCTTTTGGCGAAAAAAAACAGCAATGCGCATGCATCTCTGGTTACGCACTCCAATTTTGCCTGAGCAGTCGGCGATTCCGGCATAAAAAAATTACGGTGGCTTGGCGACAGATAAGCCTTCAGATAAGTAAACAAAAAAGTCTCCCTTCTCGGTGACTCGTAAAAAAATAAAAAACCTCAAACATTACTTTGGATTTTCTTCCTCAAAAGAATTGTGGAGACGATATTATATTCAGAGAGGAATGCAAATGCGCATTTATGACACAGAGACGATACTGATTAAACCCATTTTTCCAAATCCAAGTTAGTAGAGTAGATGTCTGAAAGGGGAATACAAGTGCCACAAGCAGATTGATCGGCAAATAACAGCTGCAAAAACAATGACAGTTAGACAGCAGAGAACCCAATCACAAAATCGGCCAAAAACTGTTACCTCCAATAGTTCATGAGAAAAGTCCGTATCGCACAATGGACTTTCTCGGTCAATTCGAAGATCAACAACAGGTTTTGAGAAAAAAAAGCTTACTGTACGGAAGATGGGGATTTCAAATACCCACGATTTCGTCAAAATTCATGTCAGCAGGGGTAGATTGTTCGAAATGATAGCGCCGAGAGTACATTCACCCGGACCAAAAAGTATGGGGACTGGTTACACTTTATGGGTGAGTGCATAAATGGCTCACAGCAATTTCCAAACAACGGAAATTGGAAATTGAAGATAGTAATTGTTACTTTATTTCACTAGGAATTTGAAGCGAAACGATGTTGCTGTATGGACGATTTATTTTAGGGGAAAAAGTTTGATTACACCGGTCAAACCAAGTGGAAGGTTTAATAATGCCAATATTTATTTCCGCATCCGCACAAAGGAAGAGAAACCAAGTGACATAAGTATCGTGATTAAAAAGCATCTGGAGTGATTGAATCAAACGTGCAATTCTACATCATACCAGCTTTGGTCCATGAAATTGCTTTTATTTTACAACAGACATATCGGCCACTATCTGGTGCACACTTTTCTCAGACGAACAGTTAGAATCTTGTTGGGCGATTTCGCTTGGGAAAAATATTATTTGCATTAGCGATTGCCTTAAATTATGCGAGGTCACGAAGCCTGTTCTAGCACAGTTTAGGCGTGGGCCAACTTAAATGAAGCACAGTAGTCAGAAATGACATTCACTGCGTATCTAGAAGTGAGTGTTCCTCCAAAAAATAATCATGCAAAGGCTTACTCGGCCACGTTCGACAAAGTTGGAGATCATAACGATGATGTTGGAGTTCTCATCCCAAACCATCTGCCAGAAGTCGTCGAATGTGGTGTCCTTCGGACCTTGAGCAGCGATAAAAGCCCGCGGACGGCAGAAGCCCTGAAAGTCAAGAAGAGGAAGAGGGCTAAGACTGTCCAACTTACAAAGCCCTTAATTCTTCCGTGCTGAATCGTTTTAACAGAGAAAAGCTTGACCTACCATACCACCTTTACTAGATAGAATTTGATTGGCATAAACGAACTCTAAAAATGCCCTAATAGCAGATTCAGGAATTCGTGTTACCAACATCAAACAAGTACCGTAAAGTACCAAATACCAATTTTTGTAGCTTAATCAATGCCAAATGGTAATAAAAGAGTTAATGAATAAGACAACTTTATTTGCCGAAGAACATGTGCTATATTTTATGAAAGATCCTGTGTTGAAAGGAAAGCAAGAAACGCCAAGTCATGAGAATCCGGAAGGCAGCCTCAAGGCTGCGGCACGTCACGCAGACGTCGATGAACATAATTTCTCAGAAAGCGGCTACATCCAGATGGAGACAAAAGGCCTCCACGACCTTGGATATACACTATAACTCTTCGGCATGGTTAACTCCCTCAGAATGGGCATTTCGCAGCACCCTTCCCGTTTGCGGCCCCCTTGTTCAGCCACAAGTGCCAGTGGTGAATCCACGGCCATCAGTAGACAGACCGCCTGCAACATTGAGTGTGCAGACGAAAACATGGCGTCTTCCCGTCCAGCCGTCTAGATCGGCGAATCTGGTGATTAGGACAAAACCGCCCTTCCATACAAGATCACTGACGCCGACAGAGTGCCTCACTAGTGAACTAGGGACGGATTACAAGACCTAGTGCACCGAGCAATACTGAAAATCCTACAAACCTATTAGGTCGCTTGACAGAATTGATGAAATATCCAGGTAAACACACTTCCCAATTTACGCATCCGAGCCAAAATGTCCACTTAGTTGACTTATTCCTTGTCATCCTATCACCGGATGCTGGAATGGATGGCAATACATGGGGGGACGCGGAGGTAACCTCACCGCCGGAGGGAATGAACAGCCCTTCCTCCAAAATCAAGGCTTGCAATTTAATGAAGAATTAAATCACTGCAAGTACGAGAACTTCTAGCGGAAGACTCAATTCCACTTCAACTGATTAAGCCTAACTCGGATGCAAAAATTTAAGAGGCTTAGAATGCAGGTAATGGATAATATGATGACACCAACTATACCGCCGTGCTAACTCCTATACGAGCCAATCTGAGCATCAAAGAAATAGGCTCCAGCACGGAGGCCCTTATAGCCAGTCCACAGGAGTGAGCAAGAGGTCCGACATATGCGCATGTCCCTGTTAGCTGAGTAACTAAGAAGAGTGGTAGTTTCATTTTCACGTATTTATAATATTTTGAATAAACTTGCAGTAGCACATCTAAAATTCATCAGTGCGTGATATTAACCAACTAAAGAGAACGAACGAGAGTAGGAGTTTCGAGATGTTCCAGGCTGTTCAGAAATCAGGACAGCAATGGAAAGTTTTCAGAAAGTAAAACCAAAGTAAGAGTGTTCTCCGGGGCTAGAGAAATCTTCAACATCACTCCCCGTTAGTAGCGACGTCTTCTGGAGGCCACCTGCAAGTTTCCCGTTCTGGGCTTTTGCTTACTGGGACGCCGTCTCAATAGGTAAGACGGGTCAGTCGGGACCTTCTCCTTGGTAATCTGTGGAGCAGAATCCACATAGGGAAGTGGTATTCGGTAGGTGTCCAACGGTGTGCCCATCGGCAGAGTACTCCATCGGATTGCTGATTCCCCAGCGTGCCGCAGGCGCAACTGGTCCCAATGCCTCGTTCAAGTGTCATTCCCGATTCTGACGTCCGTATGACCCATTTGCAATTACTAAAAATTTTTAAGCGACCCACCAATCGTGTCTCGGTTGGCAATCATGAGTGTAGACACTAGCAACCGATGAAGCTTCCATTAAACCCGCTTTAAAGCCGTCTTTTGGCCTAGTAACCATGGCTGCATTGATCGGGCGAAGCTTGAGCCACATTAGCGACTAGGCCGGTGATTGACAGTTTCACAAGGAAGCATTTCGAGTTGTCTGATGACAGCAGAAAACAGCTGCCCCATCTTCTCATGCCCTCAGTAGTGTTTGCTTGAATGTTCTAACAGAACGCACGGCTTGACTATGTATAGGATTGAGGGTTGCACGGTAAAAGGCATATCCAACAGCGTGTTGACAGCGCAAGCCGCGGCAATTTCACGAAGCAACTTGTTCCGTTGCCTCTGACGAAGGGCTCCGGTGGCAGTAGAGGGAATAATGGATGCTACTACCAGCCACTTCAAAAAGGCATCCACCATAACGACTGGTTTGAGGAAACCGGCGTGGAGTCATGATCATAGATCCTCTAGATGAGGCCAAGGTATTGAAGGAGGATAGTTTTGGCTAACGTGAGTCAAGTGGAAAGCTGATGTAACCTCTTGAGGATTTCCATTTATGGTTTATGAGGTACTCTAGCTGAGTGCAGCTAATCCCAGTTCGTTCCGATTGGTACTAGGTCCAGATTCAGCTAATCGAACCGGCGAAGGCCAAGTAGATTGAAGTCATCGTTGGTGGTGCAGCAAGTTCCAGGATGTGATGTTTCACAAAAAGACACAACGCTAGAATTGTCTTGAAAGGTTCGGCTGACCAACATTTGAACCGTGATCTAAACAATCCACCGGACCCGTGATTTACCGATCGGCGCCATAAATCCCCCAAGATAATGATGATGTCCGGGGTGGTGCCCTGCTGTAGCCGCACAGGATGGCCATTGTAACGGAACATGACGTAATTCTGGCGGCCAGGCTTGCTTTGATCACAAAACCTTAGCCAGTTGGTGCCGGCATTAGATTTGGATGGATACGATTAACAACACCCAACTTTGTTGTCTGCACTGCCAGAGGGGGAAAAAGTAGGTGCCCTAGGTCTTACCGCCAGGGTATTGACTGTTGCAACATGGACCAGATTGTGACAGAACAGGCTTCAGTGAGCCAGACTGATCTGACCGGTACACGGGATGGACAATGGAAAATAACTTACTTTTCAGACAGAACCAAAGTGTTGTCATGATGCAGACTATTTAGGGACTGGTACGCGTCAGCGACTGCCTTAATTGACATTTGGATTCTATTCCAGGTGCCCCACCACGTGCACTCAAATATTTGCAAATTGGAGCGACTAGAGAATGGGACCTTAAACTGAATGACAGTTAAGAATTTCAGTTTACATTTCCAACGTAAAGAGATCGTCGGCCCCATGCAGATCCAGCTTCAAGTGTTTGTAACGTACACTGAAAAGCGATAACCCTTTATTGAAGCAGTTTTGCAGAGATTTTGCTGCCTCATCAAGAAAGCATTCGCATGGATTACGTGATGGTATCGGGTTTCAGAAGAAGACAAACCTTCTACGAGTCATCATTCCAACGAGTTCGATATTGAATGGGCCCTCATACTATTTGAATGGTGAATAAAACGCATTGTCTTCTGGGTCATAGTGGAACTCCACTATGACCTCATCAATAGCATCAGTTGATGTTGGGGCCATTGTGAATGATTGAATGGACAGAGTCAAAACCGTTTATGCTAATAAACTCATTAATTTCAGTTGATGCTCGAGTAGTAATTCAAGTTTTGAGTCCATAAGGATCATACCAAAGAGACAAAGACGCTGCTGCGCACATTCGCGTTGCCGACATACGTGACGGAGCCAGGGGACACAGCTCGCACTTACGCACTCACTAACCGAGCGTTGGGGACACACGATGGTCCCTTTCTCGCATCGTTACTGCATTTTGATTGGCCTCGGACTTACGAGGATTGCTAAAACACTTAAAGTCTATTAGTTTGTGATACCAGGCAGCTAGGAGAGCCGGACGAGGACGCGAGTCCCGAAACGCTCTAGGACTGGGCATGGGGAAGATAACCTCCAGGAGATGGAAGCAGGTATGTTTTTGGGAGTTGCAGGCCATCCTTCTTAGCACAAGGGTGAGGTGTCAGCCAGCATCACTGTAACCGAACCAGGACATCCTAAGGGTCAGCGTTCTTGGCGTTTGTTTATTTTAATCAAAAATCTCGAACACACTGACGCATCAACGAGATCGACTAAATAAACACTGTGGTGAATGAGTAGTTGAACCACCTACGGTTCTGACGGTCCGATCGGTTAAGTCCTGGCAAAAAGTCTCGTTTCCAACGAAAAAGAGTTCATCATTGAAACAAAAATAAATAGCAAACCTCAAATGCACATATCTCATCAATGCGGCAGAACCCTTCCCAAACAAGGCTCATTTTCACTGGGTGGGAAGAATTTAGAAAGCAGATCGGTCTGGTAATCAAGAGTTTGTTTATGCACCGTCTTCACTGCTTGCCGTGACTCAGAGCTAATTGAATGGCTAGGGAATAGGGGATCTCACTAGTTCATTCTCTCGCTCCTTCATCTAGAAAAACAAGACGAAAAGAAGGGCAGGCGCGTGCCGAAACCATTATGCATAAACTCAGATGAAGAGACGTTCGGGAAATGGGCCATACTGCCTCCATTCACCACATCGCATGTTAATAAACCCGCATAAAGCAAAAAACCCTAAGCTGGTTGAACAGGAGAATCATCCTTCACAGCAGATCATATAGCATGCTTTAGATTACAAAAGTGGAAAATGAACAGGCTTCCACAGCGCCCTTAAAAACTATCTCAACCGTCCCTTTGTGTGCGTAAATGAGAAGGCACTTCAATGCGCACATTGGTAAGCTGAAGAAGGCTTACGCCGGGATGCATGATCCACTGTGGAAGGCAGAATTCAGCTACTTCGGCATCCTCTGAATCCTGGTCAACAGTGGAGTGAAATTGGGACGGAACAAATCGAAACAGTTCACAAAGTAAAAACTGATATAGTATGGATGTAGAACCAGTAAAAGGTAAGTTAAAGCTGGTGCTTATTAGGACTACAAAAGACCGAAAAAAGCAAATGAAAAGTAGGAATGAAGTAAGGCAAAAACTCCATAAACTAGAGGGGGAATCCAATTAAACAAACCCAAATCAAACCAAAATAAGAAGTACATTTAAGAAGTGAGATCAAAAGACTTGGAATCTCTTAATACTCCAAAAAGCATCAAAGCGATAAAGGAAATCGCCCAAAATAAAACCACCCTGTTAAAAGATTCAAATGGGTTTTGCTCTCAAACAGTAATTTCTACAAAGAGAGAGCGGCATTCAAAGAGCCCGATAGTTCTTGAAAGGCACCTTGGGTCTCAACGAGGCACCGTCCCTTATTAAACGAATCGAAATCTCATCAACCATCCTAACGCCTCTTAAAATAAAGCAGTTCTGATAATTTCACTGCAAGTGAAAAACAATCCACTGCCTCTGAATTCGCCGACAGCTCGCTTTCCCAGTTTAACCGTGATAAATTTTGGGAATACAACAGGAGTCAAATCCGCAATTGATGCGACGGAGAATGGGCATGCAGAGAAGTGGTGTAGTTGCAAGGCAGGTGGGTGAAAAATAAGAACGCAAACCACCATCTGCCCGAGGTGGGGAGAGAGAGAGTCACTCACGTCGACGTAATTCGCGTTGATGTAGTCCGATTTGCGTCCGTTCTTCAGAATCACTCGTGTGTGATCATCTGCGCGTGCATCGTGGAGGAGGAAAAAAAAGGAAGGAGTTACTTAGGCGTACAATGAATTAAAAGGTTTAACTTTCAAAGCCTACTTTCATCTTGGCCATACTTTGTGGTTTTGCTAATGGACGCGCAGTCTAGTAGTTCTTGACTAAATGAACTGTTTTATTCCAACTTAATGTGGTGCACGTCTATCAATTTCTAACAGCAATGTAACCTTCGTCGACACCAGTTTTTTTTCATAGAATGGATACTCAGTAAGGGATGAGGTCTCGGATAGGCATGAAGGTAACAATATCGCCAAATTTGTTGTAAATTTTATTGCTGCAGGTGAATCCTGCATGGACATATCATAAAAGTATACTATTCCCTTGGTGAATGTGGAATATTGTCTCATTGTTTTGGACAAAAGTATACTGGTTCATCTGAAGCCTAATTTCATGCTGTTTATTTTCAACATATTAGGGAAAACAGAGTCCGAAGGTCAATACTGCTTGCCCTTTGGGCCACACCGTATTACTGAGCACGGGGATTGACCCCATCGGTCATGAAGTGTACCTTGAAGTCGACCCCGTGCATACGGAACTACTTGTTTGTAAGGAAAACAGTACGCGCACCAAGTGGCGTCACTACGTTACATTAGACAAAGTTCAAGACAATGGGAAAACGAATGAGACAACTTATCTTTTTAAGTATTTCTACCAGTCTCAAAGGAACAATGGATAAAACGCATGTGATTTAGGCACCGTATTAAGCACCATTTTAGGCGAAAGGTTTGGAGGTTGCTTTCTCTTATCTCTGTCAGGAAATATGAATCCTAGTATTTATGAGTTGTGACCCGAATTGTCTTTGAGGGATTTCGTTATACTTTGGACGTGACAGGACCTTCAAAACTAGAAGCCTTCACATATAAGTTTGAAACCATCGAAGATGAGGTAAAAATAAAGACATGGAGTGATAAAAGAACAGTTCGAGTTTTTCTTTATTTCAATGAAGTGAATCGTACGATTTAACGCCTCAAAAATACACGGGAAAGTCGAAAATGCTATCAAAATATGCTATACAAGCCGCAAGGATGATAGATTGCTGACATCTGGCGTCGATTTCTGGAGGGTACAGAACACGTCCCTGATGAATTGCTGAATGGGAAGCTCGCATCAACGATAACAGTAACAGTGATTCCCGTGGAAGAAGAGGTAACAGAGGGTGGGTAAATTGCCCAAAGCCTCCCTCTAGAGGTAAGTAACAACCCCTTTAAGGTACACTTCACATACAGTAACGTGATTTACGACCATCTCTATCTCCTCTTTATCGACAAGGGTGGAGGGCAAAACACCATACCATTAAACCAGACGAGATCTAGGGATTTTAAAGCATTAAAGACAAAAAATTACGACTTTGAATGGGAAATGCATTTAGCACCTAAAAGTCGAGTCCCGATCATGGTATGACGAGGTGAGGGCATGAAAAACAACCAAATTACAGAAGTGGAGAGACGAAATTCGCATGAAACAGTGGTGAGCGAAAAGCGTGATGCAGCCAAAAATAAGTTACTTAAAGGGAGGAACCCCTTACTCACAGTAGTTTTCAACGCTAGCAAGATACTCGTGAGGAAAGAAAAGATCACCATTAATGGAGTATTAGTCAAACAACCCACTTATCCAGACATCCCAAGGTCACCAGCCCATCGCAGCTCCGCCTTTACCTTTCTAATCAATCGCCTACTCACATCAAATGCATTGGCCCAGAGTAAGTCCTTTCACTGGAAAATTCGTACAGGCAAGGCATTCAATGATTACCTAAGTCAATGAACACCCACTGTCTTACTTCTTTGAGCAACCTTAAATTCAAACCCAAGCTTGCGACGCAATAAATGCCTTAGCCACCATCCTTTCAAAATGTCATTCACTGCGTTCCATGGAGCATTCAAAGCTGATAACACTAAAAATACCAACAAAATGGAAAATGAAGAAAGATCGACATACTGCTTAACACCTCCCCCCAACATCGAAGTATTTGGCACCGCATGCAGCCAAGCTCTCAAGGAGCAACCGAAAGGAATACATTCGAAAGGTTGTTATAAGTGGTAATTGATTGCACCGGAAAGTGTCAAGTGGGTGCTCACCTCGAGCACCTTTCGTCATGAAGCATAAGAGCCGCCACCCTCAGATGGAGACAATTATGAAACCTGCATAAACTGTACCAGAGAAGTAGCCTCCCGTCACACGCTTTTTGTAAGGCGTATGCAAGGAGTGCAGGCTCAGCCCCATCGACGTACGAATTCGGGATGGGCGCGAAAGGCAAAGGAAGCAGCAGAGAATTCCAACTGACCATAGCCGTGAATAAGGAGAGCGAAGAATTCCCGGATCACTTCAATGGAAACAGTTGAGAGGATAGCAGAAAAGTTAGATACGATTCCCGCATTTCACCATGTCTCGGATTCTTAACAATTTTCAGTTTAGTAAACAGTGCCCTAGAGAACAGTGAGCACAAGCGCTTGGATGTTTTTTTTTCCGCAATTTAGCTGATTATCGAGTTAAAGGTATCAACTTCATGAGGCAGATAAACGCTGGTGGGACACCAGTTCATTTGGAATCAGGCAGCGGAGAATGCAAAAGACGCATCCGCCACCCATGATATAAACTGGGCTTGTGCGCGTGAACTCGAGTACTGTTGACCTCCCGACCAAACGATCAACAGACATGACCTCAGTACAAATGTCTCTACTGCTGACTTGTGCGAGTAAGCAAAGGGGATAATAAAAGACCAGGAACGGTCCCAGTCTAGCATAGACATGGCACTTGATTGACCTTGGTGTTAGCTCATCGATACGTGATATCAGGTAATCAAGAGGGCCTGAGCGAGAGCACGACGTGCTAGAATATTCGGGAACCAGCCATAAAATAAAAACTTCCAGCAGGCCGACCCATCTGGGACTATTTTCGAAGTAGCTATTACCAATGGAACACACCGTGACACACTTCAGAGGGTACTAAAATTCGCTGTTTAGTCGAGACACTAATATTTGCTTACACATTAATCAAACGTTCTATGATCACAAGAACGTAGATAGAAATAGATAGCAAGGTGAGATTAACTCCCAGAACCTTTACAACTGCCAAAGTGAATCACATACGAATTTGCAGTCAAAGCAACGAGTATATCGCTAGATTCCAATCAGGTAATAAAACTACTGATTTATATACTTCGACGATCAAACGAGGTCACAAATGACTACTCATTGTCAGAGAAGCAGAAACGGCGACAACTGGGGAGGTGTGTAAGAGGGGGAACGCCTGGTGATATGATTCACTTTTCACAATTCTCACGTTCAAAATCGCACCAATTTCTAGGCGACTTCAAATAATGGAGGTTGAAAACTGTCTTTAGGGTGATGACAAACGAATCAATTTGTGACCCGATGTGCAGCTATCCATCCTAAACAGTAAAAATACTCATGAACCACAAATTTGTGATGCCTTGTACCGCTGTTTTTACATAATTTAGAGAGAAGATGCAGCCTCCGGACCAAATTCAACCAGCTTGCACAAGTTAGTCAACCACTCTCAAGAGAGATTTTATCAGACCCTCTCAGGGTGGATGAGTCACTGACTTGGAAAGACAATGCTGGACGAAATTTGAGCTTAAAGAAGATGCGCTACTGGTCGATACCTACCCTTAGACTTAATTATACCCCTCATTCTTCTTCTGCTGGTTTTCTGCAGGGCTATAAAGAACAACGTACAGGGGAAAACGTTGGTGTAGCGATTCTTGGCCATGTTATCCGGCAGACGAGCGACCGACGTTGGCCAGCTGGTGCGGACACTTTGTTCAATCGCCTAGAAATAAAAGACGGTGAGAATACTGGCAACGCAGTAAAAGTACTGACGTTTAAATGCACATAACCGAGTCCCCTCCAAAACTCACTTTTTTGTCTTCAATTTAATCGCTTGAAATGAAAGACAACCTAGTAATGTATTGAGAAGTAATGTTATTCTCAAATCCAAGGTAAGTCAATAGGGGAAAGCTGAGGACTAACGGGTTTACAATTTGTTGAATTGCAAGTCAATTAAAGTGGAATTACACGTGGACTTACTCCATCTATTCACCTGGACATTGATGCATGGAGTTTGTTGCCTCCAGTCTCATTAATGGTAACTTTTACCAATGAATATGTAAGTGAAAATAATAGTAAAGTTTCAAGAGTTTGCACTTTGAGAGGGTCTTTTTGATCGGTGTAGACAGTCAGTAAAGTGCGAGATGGAAGCCCTGTTTTTGTTCCAAAGGCTAAAAGATCGTAACTTGGATGGATGACATACGTTTGTCAAGACAAATCATAATACCGTAAAATGAGATCAAGACATCGCATCACTACAGTGAGGATACGTAGCTAGCTAGTCTTAGGTAGATAATTTAATGCCACTATCAAAACTTTTATACCATTTCCTGCATTATGGCAGATAAGCCGATGATCAGATGGATGAGCAACGAAGTGAGCGGACGCTTTGGTGAAAGAATGGATGCTTGAGAATCAAAACCAATGATAACTTGTGTAGTAAATGGCGGATGAGTGAGTGTAAATCCAAAAGGATAACCCGAATGAAAGCTAGAAGGGGTGAAACTAAATAGTTCGATACAATTTCACGTCAGTACCTAGTCGGGAGATTGAACAGAGACTGGTAGTTGAATAGGATTAATAGCTAGATGAGGGAACCAAAGGAAGCTCAGGCTCCAAAATGGATGCCATTCCGGATGGATGGCTGGGCCATTAAGAATTAGTGGGTGGATACATGGGTGAATGCTACTGAATGGGAGGTTGGATGTGCGAATAGCCGATCGGAGGCATGACAGGCCGGTAAAGGAGTAAAACACGAAATGACTGTATCTAGTCAGAAAATTTGAGGGATGAATCAAGTGGACGAATAAATAGGATCGACGAATGGACGGGTTGATGGATATTAATTCGACCACCACATGAAACGAGCTAGAAGGATATTTTAGTCGGAAGCTCTAGCAGTTAATTTGGATTTTCACCCAACATGCAAGGCACTTGGGAATGCTCGAAATTGAGTGCCATTGGAGGATTGAATGGGAAGAGTGTAACAGAAATAGACCATTTGTCCTTAAAGTAATAAAAGTGAAAGCGATAGGGACCAATAGCTCTTGCAATGTTTCTGCATCAACATGGCCATAACTTTTATATCTAATTGTCAAGTGTTTCAACCAACGTGAATCCACTTTCAAGGGAGATAAAAGCACTAAATTTGGAAATAAAATGTCCGAGAAAAATCAACGGGTAAAAACTTGATAAAACGAAATCAGGACACCCCGGAAACTAAATTAACGATGACATTATGCCTTCAGTAATAGTACGTTTGGGCACGATTGATACTGTGGGAAAGCGCATACGTAAGACTCCAACTTCAATGCCAATTGCGTGTGCATTTTTATGCAAAATACTCGTGACTACCATTGAAGGCAGTTGGGTAGGTAAGTATAAGAATAAGCTCGAGATTGAATGCGTTGAGTTGAGGGGTTTGAATTGATGAATGAGGCATTGCACAAGCGCATGAAGAGATGGACAAATGTCAACAGATGAAATAATAAAAGGCTAGATGCTGGTTAGACTTATAAATGAATCAATAAGTCGTTGATGGCACCAAGTCGCTTGATGGCATCAAGGCTTGTGCCAAACATTTACAGTGTCTGGTTGTTAGACAGAAAGATAGCTGGATGGGCCAATGATTGGAAGAATGAATGAACGAACGATTACGTCGATAGACAGATGAGACCCTGGACATACTAGTTGGACAATAACTCAATCGGAGATAAGCAGGTGGATAGACAGGTAGAGATAGATGGAAGGAATCAGCGGAAAGTAAGAAGTCAAAAGCGCACAAGTGGATTCACCTCACCTAGGCAGGAGAAAAAGTTGCCGGATTGAAGTGCTGGAAGTAGCAACAAATCGGTGGATAAATAGAAGACTGCACTTAACAATGGATGAGGCGTTGAACGAATAAATGGATGGGTTATTGAGAGTTGGATCAAACAAATTTTTACTTAGTAGAGATAAGTGGGGAAACGTAGAAATAAACTGATGAATTGGTAAATTGAGTTAAATGGATAACTAGACGAATTGTTGAGCAGAGCTGATAGCTGGACCGATCAGCACAACCACCTGAGCAAAAATACATTGAGGGATGAAATGGAAATTGGTGAGAAAATAGATAAGAAATTGTGAACCGCTGGAAATCGAATGGATTAATAAGCAGAGGAAATAGCCCATAGCTCACTTCTAGCATTTGCTAATACTTATTAGGAAGATCAGACGGTTCGACGACGGAGTAAACAAGTTGGCGTGAACGATGGCTGAATGTGCGAATGGGAAAATATTATTCGGAAATGGAGAACTGAATGGACAGAGGGATAAATGAATAGAAAGTCGCAAGTCCGATAGACTTAAAATTGTCCAAGATTTACTGAAGCTAGTCAGAGGTGCAGACGAAAAAAATTGAAATGACAGCTTGAAAAATAGTTGAATAAATTAATGATGGGATTGGACGATAAATAAACACGTACTTGAAGCTTAAAAAACAGGGCTGAGTGAAAAAGAAAACACCGAATTCATATCCAGACAGCAAAGCGGAGAAATGCCTACCTCAAACTCCGCCTGATAGCCTGCATCATCGTCCACATGATAGCTGGCCACGTGTTGCGCCAGTCGCTCGGCTGGAATGGGCTTGTACGGACTGTCCTCGAAGCTACGCATCTTCGGTGTGACCAGCGGGGTACGCGCATCGTCTGTCCGATCGCCACCTCCGCAGCCCATACCAAAGTCGTCTCCCAGGCTACCAACCACGCCGCGACGCTTGTAGACCCGCGAGGAACGACTGAAGAGTTACCAACAGATGACAGTAAAGGTAAACACTGGAAATATTTCAAAGCAAGAAAATGTTAATACGCCAAACCCTCGTTGAGGTATCCCGAACTCCCTGTCTCTCAAAAATGCTAGGATGTTTGGTTCCGGATAAAGGCTTGCAGACTGTTGACAAAGTACTTCACCACTAAGACGGTGACCGAAAACCATGGGAAATGTAAAGCTCGTGCAGTTAAACTACAATAATGAGATCCGATCTCCATACCGGTGAGATGGAACTCCGCCAAGGTCATATCTGCAGGATTATTTATCGGCCCTTCTATTTTCATGCTCTCATAACCAAGCAACTCCGAAGTGACTTTAGACGAATGGCATTTGCTTCAATAGCCCTGTTCTTGTCTAGATGGTAATTTCGCTGCCTCTGACAACGTCACAAAAGCTCGGAGCAAAGTAAAACCCGATTAAACGGCATTCAAACACGCGACCTTTTCTGGTTCTCACCATCCGACCTTAACGCTGACGACGTAGAGGTCTGTCCGTGCCATCTACGCAATTTCATGCCGTTTACACCAATGCCACTGATCAACTTAGGCGCCTCGTAACAACGTCTTAGAGGCTAAGCTGATCATTATACTGGCGGCAGGATACATTGCATACACTGCCCCTTGCAACGTTGATAGCCGCTTTCGATACTTCTTCACCGAAGGTTGGAGTTGATACTATGGCGCCAGGGGAATATGCATTTACAAAAGAATAATGTGCACTGAGTGTTCAAGCGACAACAAGGTCACATTCAATGCTTAACGAATCAACCTCCACGCTGCTACCAGAATTCCAGCCTTTTCTATACGCCAATAATTAAGCTACTTTCAGACTCCTGTGACTTACAGAACCTTCAAGAATAATTTAGGCACTAGAGTAAAATCGAAATACCCGGAAATACCAAAATGAGTGCGGTAAAGAGCTTATGTGTAGTTATTTTGTACGTTTAGGAGCGCTATTTATTCACCTTTTGATAAAAGACGATGGTTTATTTAACCATGACGCTCCAATTGGTTGATGTGAGGTCGCCCACATAAACTTTGTCCAAACAAAATTGTTCTTGATACGACGTCAACCGCTAAGGTGGAGGCAAACAATTTGGCTGGTGAAATTAATGCTCCCTTTTGGGGAGAATCGACCCCTTTGAACGAAGGCCTTGGAGACAAGATTCCCAGGTTAATAGTTAGAGTAATGACGCCGTTTCCACAAATCACGATCGAGGCAGGTATTGCGCTGACGGTTACACACCGATAAGTTTCTGCAAGTCAGTCGCTTGATACATGCAAACGGCAGTTCACCCCTTTCGTGATTACTCTTCTAGTAATGCAAAAATAGAATTTCAGTCGTACCAGGTCATGGTACAGACGAGGAACAATGCTAACGCGTATCGACTGGGAATAGTCGTATATGATGGCTGCAGCGCTAACCTGGAAAAATGCTAGAAGGATGATGATAACGGCAAAACGAGTGAATGAATGGATGAACTTATCACGTAAATGCCAAACCCTGCTGATAACACAAAAAACGACACTTTCACATCTCAAAAACGCAAGTTAAATGCATGAAGGGTACATGCGATGGGAAATGGATATGAGTGAATAGACGAATGGAATAAACGTAGAATTAGCTGATTTGTAGGCGGGTAAATGCAGGACTGAATGGAAGATGAAAGTTAATCTTTTCAAATCAGCCAAAAAACAAACTACGCAATTTGTCCTTCCCAATCCCACGGCGTCAACAACGATTGTGGCTTTACGTTGATAAGAAATATGACAGCTTTTAAGGGCGAAGAGGCGGAAGAAAAGCAAGGAAAACCAAGTATTTTTGCAAATTAAATGCGAATAAGCTACTTTATAACGAGCAGCTCCTCTGGTTAGTAGCCAACCTGGGCAAGTTGGAACCTATAAAAGCACCGCACAAGTACTGAGAGCTCAAAGTTGGAGGATTTTGAATGATATTTGCTTATATTTCGGTGGTATTTCAATTGAAAAACCTAACTTGAGGTAGTTGCATCTTTCATACCTCCGGCCAAGATCACGGTTAGATAGGTGGACAAACCCTGTATCGGACTTTTAAACGTTAATTCTGCACACTCAAAAATCGGACTATTTTGATTTATTTTCTGTCGACAACGAATATTGAGACAGGACTGGGAAAAGCACAGATATAAGCATGCTTAAATGTCCTCACACGCACAATTCAGATCCAGCTTGCTGGAGAGAGGCAGTCGCATGCTCCGCTTGAAATGGCAATTTAAAACACCTCCTCCTCCGTCCACCCCCCAGATTTCTCAAGAAAATATCAAAATACGGACAATTCTCGGTCGTTTTCCGCGCTAATATTGCTCCATGAGCTTTAGCACAGTAACTGCCAGCATTGCAGATGTGTGGCGTGTTACTTGCTAATTTACGATGGCTGTGGTCAACACTAACCGTGCCGCAGACAAATGGGTTGATGCTAGTCAAAAAAATATGCAAGATCTTGTTCAACTGATAATTACGTTTTCAAATTCTTGAGTGGCATATCCTTAAGTAGAATACGCCTTCCAAGAGCTGTGGCGGGGCATCTTTTAAAAGGCAGGACCCTGTCTCAGAAGCGGCCATGGTAATGTAAATTATACGATGTAGTCATGTGAGCAAAAAGACGCGTCTGGGAGACTTCGTTCATATAATGAAGTTCTTAAGACCACGCATAGAAGAGAATAGGCGTCCAGCGCCAAGTCAGTCAGTAAACAAAAGTCTGTATGCACTTAAAAGTGCCTGAATAGTGTCCAACTTGCTGAATAATGTAAAGCAAAGTACAAAAAGCCTAAACTATCAAAACCAATCTGCCAACAAAGGTAGATAAAAGTTTGCCATCATGAAAATGGATCGACAAGACTGACAACGAAGGTTCAATAAACTGCTACGTGAGTGACAAGGAGTCATGATTACTGGTGAGTTGTGCAATTGGCTTCCTTACTTTTCTCACAAGTGGACCTGGTAACGCTAGGCCAAATCCAGATATGTTGGAAAGCCCTCCTCGTGGATAATCCTGAAAGTGGGCCATCTCTTGGACAATCAGCAAAACTGATGTTGAAGATAAGGACAAATTGCAATGCGACTAGATTGCGCGAGAATGACTGGACTGGGTGGTTGGCCTCGGCGAATCCCACCATTCATTGCGCATGCGGCAAAGATGCTCTTGACATTGACGTGGTGGAAATGAAGTCAAACAGAGTCGTTGGGTACATGGAAAAGCAGATTTGAAATGAGAATCAATGGGCTGAAGAAATGAGCGAGAAGAGCCACAACTATAAGGTATTTGTATATAGGAAAAATGAAGAGGTAAACCGTTGTGCATCAATTCAACACTTGTGGCTACAAACTTTGGAATAAGCTAAATGGTTCAATTAAAGCAATGTCGTTTTTACTCTTGAGAACAGAGTCTCTAAGCTACTTATTGAATAAATTCTAAGGCAATTTCACAGCTTCTACACTTTCCGATTTAACCGAAACGCCGAAGGAGACTAAACAAAGTGAGATTCCCACAGTACCAGGCAGTCGATCAAGTTGGATGTGTGCCTGTTGTGATGAAATTCACTTTCTTCATCAACAACAAAATTCTCATAGTTATTAAAAAAGGTGTTGCAAGACCTCAAACTGACCAATTGGAGTAATTAGGCAGTTCCACCGTTTCTGCTGTGCACTCTTCAAGGCTCACGAAAAAACGCACTCAATGGGAAAAAGCCGCAGTAAAGAAGTATACATGAACCGTTCGATTTAAATAAATCATAATTTATTTGTACTTCGTTGTGAACTGTACAAATAGCAAACCTTTCCTAAAGAGCTGCTTGAAACCGCATCATAAAAAGAAAGCGGACCCCTCGATTCAGTTTTGTGAATCTCGAAGCTACCTTTCAATCAGGCATGATTTAAAGTAGGCCGCCTGTTAGGTTATATCCTACCAAATTGAAGAGCGGGAGTAAAAAACACATAAAGTGAAACTGCAACAAAAATATGCTGAAGTCCTTCTTGAGTCAAAAAGTGGGATAAATTCTACTTTTAAAGTCGGGAGAGGCTCATTTTTTTTTCCAAAATCTTCAGTAAAAGGGGTTAGATTAACCGTTTACAGTGTTCCAAAAAAATCAAATTGGGGAATGAAGGATATCGTAGCCACTCAAGTACAGCGGAAAGGAGATCCCTCCTGGATGCATTCAGCCGATTGCATTTCAAATTGTACAAGAGTGAATGAACCACCGCCACCTAATCTCTTCAGCGTTGAATTTGAGAGTCGCCGGGTAACCTTTCTAAACTGAGATACATGTCAATTTATTCTTTCCTAGCCACACCCCAAAAGCAAATTTGAACCGTAACTTTTGTTGATCCCATCACCCTCAGGTAAGACAAATTCCATAGAATTTGAAATAGCGCCGTTTACAGAAGTCTTTTGGACCTAAGATCCATCTCACTCCTTTAGGCGTTTCTAAACAAATAACTGATTGACTCACCAGTAGAAAATGGAGAGCGCCCCAACACAGCAAAGCATGAGGAAAATTGCGAAGACGGCACCAATAATCCCACCGATTGCTTTGTCACTCAACTCACCGAATTCGGCCGGTCGAGAAAACATTTCTGCTAGGTCTAGGAGGGAAAAAAAGTAAGAAAATGAAAGGATGAGATTTAAATTAAAGATACTTACGATCCAGATCGAGCTGGAGAACATTGGAGGTGGCACCGAGAGCCTGACAAGGCCAATCAATTTTACAGTCGCGGGGCCGACAGACCGACCGCACAGTAAATTTGAGGACGATTTCTTGACCCCCAAGAAGATTCACACCACGGAAGGGAAAGGTGTACTACAAAGGCATGAGGAGTTGCAATGGGTTTTGGAATTTAACTTACCGAGAAAATTCCATTATCCCGGAAAGTGGAATTGAAGGTGACTTCCTCACAGATGCTTGAGATGGTGGATTGCATGCAGGCCAGGAAGCAATGGTTGCCATCCGGGGAAGATGGGGGGTCGGCGTATACCCAGGAAACCTTGATTCCTTCCAATGTGGCCGAGATGTTGAACAACGTGGGCGGAGGGAAGTCTAGACACACAACATAATTGTACGCCTAACTACTAGGATGTTATCAGTCTCACACCGATGGCACGAAACTCTAGACCCTCAATCCAACTTTCAGGCCCGTATGAGTTATAATGTATTCAGAGGTAACCCAGATGTTACATCAGTAGCGACCTTAAAAAATCCAGTCCAAAGGAATAACAATCTCCACTTCGCCAGCTCAATGCTAGAAAAAAAAGCTGCCGTGGATATGTGAACCAGAAGCGCAAAACCGAAGGTCCATCGAAAAGCATCGGATTTTCGCGACTACATCCGATCTTGAGTTCCGCATGACAACCGGAATTGGATAAAATCAGAGCCCTTCATAAAAATGCACCCAATGTTTATGTGAACACAGTAAAGGCGAAAAACTGGGAATAACCAAGGTATCAGGCTGAACAGTATCAAAATGGCAGCAGGATGAAGAAACACAACCCCGTGAAGGTACTTGCTATTATGCGTTTTCTCCTCTGAGCAAAAGTTCCTTTGAAAAACAGTAAGCATACAGAACACGCCTCCCCATAAAACATCATTCAGACTTAAGGAAGACAGCAAATAAACTCCTTACAATCTAATTCATGGCAAGTAAATCCATCAAGTGGATGTAAAATTTTAATGACTTCATTCTGGCTTACAAGTGGTTCCAATGTATTGTGATCTGATTCCCATGCGCGTGACACGGAGACCTGATTGTGCTGCCTATGTTACTGGTTTCTCAGCTATTCTGCGAGCTTACAAGTGGAGTGATACAAAGGAGAATAAACCCACCGGGGCAAGAAGTAAAGTCCTGTGTAAGGAGGCTAAAATCACCCAACCCAACACTGGTCCTCGCAGCAGCTTGCATTTGATAGCAAGTGGCATTCCGAAGCCCCTGTATGGCAAAGTACGTCTCCTCCGTCTCCGCTGACGCCACTGTCGATGAGTTACTGCATTCTGTCCACTATGTATACAAAAAAGACTGAGGAGTCTAAAACGAGCCAAACCTTGATGAGATAGCCCAACACGACACCGCGGTTGTCGGAAGAAGTGAGGCTGACTCGAAGGGAGTCTATGGAACGAGATTCCACTTGGAGTAGAGGAGGGTCGGGTAGACCCTCTCGCGTCGTGAAATTAAGGACCGATGGAGGTCCGAACGTTCGACCGTTATAAATAGACACATTTACACGATAAGACGTGTATGGCAACAGTTGCTCCACGGTGTAGGACTTTAGGAAGGGGATAATAATAATGATATGAAATAAATACCTCGGTTTGGTTATTGATTAGTGTGACATTGATGGTTTTTCGAAAGAACAGCATCTCCAAGGCTAGTCGAAAACCAAAGAAAGGGCCGAAAAGGTGCTCGGGTGGTTTGTAGGACCCCGGACAGGAAAAGGAATTGTCACTAAGGGGAGTAATATCGCCGGCTGAGAGGTTAAAAGTAGCAGAGGTATTGGTGAAAGAGGTAAGGGTGATATTTGGCGCTGCTGTGGGGGTACCGGGTTTCGTGCAGACACTGCCATTTAAGCTAACTGGCCCGAGACCAATCGGGTCACGAGGAGTGAGACGAACAAAATATTTTGAGTATGGACTCAAACCATTGACAACTAGCTTCTGTTGCGCGGCAGACACACTTGAACTTTTGTTTTGAGGCCTTTAATGGAAAAGAAAGCAATAAGGGCAGAAGTTGACAACCATACCCCGTAACTTGAATCTCATAGATAAGAGAATTTGGGACTTGTCTGTCATTCTTCCATCGTAAAAATATTGTGGACTGATTAAGAGCGGATAGTCGCAAATTGTTTGGAAGAGTAGGAATGTCTAAAAGAGAATAAAGTGTTCCGTTAACGTACCGAGAACAAAGAGTGTCCAGAAAGCAGTAGACTCCCCGTCCCGAAAACAAGAATAATTTCCTTCATGACTTCTTGAAACATTGAAAATGTCAAGACGATCAGAAGATATGGCGACATTATCCAATTGAGGTGTGTCTGTTGAATTTAGTGTATGATTGAAAGGACCCAGCCAAAGCACAGAGCCTTGACTAGACAACGGTCCACTTAAAGGACAGGAAAGTGAAACGTTGGATCCTGAGCGTACAGAGTGATGAATGGGAAATAAATGTGCTACCAGCATTAATACAATTAAACAACTTACATATTGCAGCACCGCTGTTGATATTTGAGTCATTAGAGGCAGACAAGCTATATACAGTGAAATTAGGAGACAAAAATTGATACAGTAATATAAAAATCGTCAGCATATTTGGACTAAGAATGTAATTAAAACCATTTTTGACACTCAGAACTATGTACACCGACGCGCATAAGGCAGGCCCAATTTCGAACTGACCGCAATCATTCACTGCCTACTCAAACACGATAAGGATGGAAACAAATTACTATGACCAAGACTTTATTAGTAACCTAAGATGTTTAAAAATTAAAAGCAAACTGCTATACAGTAAAATGATATATTTTATGTGGTCTTAGTCAAAATTTCTACCAGTGCTTTCTGGATATTTAACTTAGACCTTACTTCTTTCACAAACAGGTATATTGATAGCATAGATTACGCAGTTGTAAAATAAACGTTCAAGCCAGCTTTGTCTTCTACAATTTTACTACGATTTTTAATAGTTTTTAGTGCACATTTCTCCTAATTGTCGCAACACAGCCGTCTTGATATCATTAACTTTTATCTCCTACACACATAATAGTAAGTGTTAAAAGCAAGGCTTTTCCATTTTTATTGTTACATAATGCAAAAATAAACAAATTTTATTCTGTCAATTCCAATTCGTGGGGTTTTTTGGACTGAATAACCAGCGGTGTTTTTTGTTTTGCCATTTTTGGCTGCATGAATAACTGAACCTTGGAAGTGGACTTCGGCATGTAGTTTATTTTACAACCAATTCACTGAGCGCCTTTCCCTGCAGAATCTCCTTACAGGAGTCAAACACTCGGATGACATTGCGTTTATCAATCGCTGTCGTGGGAAAAGGGTAAATCTTTCGCGTTTTTGTTTCCTCGCACTGGGCTAGAAAAAGAGTTTTGATAAAGTGGGTCACCGTGACGGTACGGTACAAGGCCACGCTCATTAGTTTCCGAAACAGTTGCATGAACTCAATGTCGTTCATTAGGGTGTCAATTGTGCTTTCCCTTACATCCCCTGTCAAAGGCCAGGTTGTTATAGCCTCTCCGTGGAGCGCCTTATTTAACGTAGTCTGCACCTCATTATATTCCTCCATCGAAACCTCTTCCATACTCATAGCCCCCATCTCGTCCTGCCTCCCTAACACGGCATTAGAGGCAGCTGGAAGAAAGTAGGAAAAATGCTTCTTCCATACCTCCATTTCGCCTTTCTTTTTCTTTTTTTGCATTAGCAATTCACTTAGAAAAGTAATCGTAAACTTCACCTGTCCCTTTTTGTACTCGGGAAAGAATTTTAGAATCGGATTTTTTCCTGATCTCACCTTGTCGGCCAACTTATCCTGCTTGTTGAGAAAGAGGATAAAGGATTTATCCCTCAATAGACTTTTCGTCCAAACCTGACCCAGCAGCTGATAGGATTCTCGTAGACGATTCACACTGTGATCCTCCTCCAGCATCGTGTCATATGCCGAGGCGTCAGTCAGGAAGATCACCGCTGTCACTCCATCTGTCATCGCTTCAATCCACTTTGCTCGCTGTTCCCGTTGCCCACCGACATCCACCATCTCAAAAGGGATGCCATTGTAGACAAGTGACTCCGTGTGAATACCAAGAGTCCGCGTTCGACATTGGAGCACATCCTTATCACTAGGCAAGTAGTCTGGTTGTCGAAGGACATTCAGTTTTTCCAGAAAGTAACTTGCACTATCGATTTGTTGAAACTCGTTTCCACGTTCCTGAGTAGCCCGCACAGCACGATCAGACCAGAGGCTCGCGCACATGCCGAAGAATTTGTCCCGGGTCTCACTATCAGCGTCCACCGTGTACCGTGCAATTGCATCGGGATTAATCCTCACTTCCTCATAGATCTTAATGACTTTCCGTTGAAGGTCTACCATCTCTTCGGAGTGGCTATTCTCCAGTGGGATGTCCTCCGCGATCATAAACGTGCAGATGTTGGCCAGAGCCTGGATGATGTTCCGCTGAATCTCGGTTAGGAATTTAGATCGATAGGCCTCGGGAAATGTCCCGTGGGGAGAACTGAGCAGCTTAAGCTGCTTCACGAAGGTCGATTTGCCCGACTCACCAGTGCCAATGAGGAGGATGCGATGTACACTGCGGTTCTCAATGCCATGTTGTTGCATAATACGGAGGAAGTAGTCGTTGCGGCGTTTATCCTCACCAGAGAAACAGTCCATGCTCCTAAGGCGTGAATTAGACCCACCATTTCATGAATTGCGAGGAATGCAGGATTTCAAACTTCTTTATCGATCAACGGCAGAGCTTATTTTATTCTCCAGCTTTCCACTAAATTAATTGATATAGCACCATTTTTAGAAGGCCAATCAACATAGAAGAGGCATTCTTGTAGATCCCTGGGCTCCAAATGTATTTGTTTTTTCAAAAGTTCTTTTTCCACAAATTACTACAGTGAGGCGTTTTAATAATCACTTTGACATCTTAATTGCGCTATCTTTAAACAGCTTTGTTTTGATGCGGCAAGCAGTGTTGACAAAGCGACACTCCTCTGGGCAGGAGGCTTTAAGGTGTTGTATTAATCGAGAATCCAGCTTATGGCAAATCTTTTGGGTAAAATCCGACACCTTTTTACATCTCATGTGAACTCATTAAGGAAGACAAACTTTCTAAGATTTGGATGATATTGTTCTACCGGGAAAATAGGCAGGAAGTGAATAGACTACTAAGTACATTTACCCTTTTGTAAATTTCTGCTACAGTCGGGAGATGGCTGGTAATTTTGTTGCTGTGGCAGTGCCAATTCTGAAGATGTAGGTAGGCACACCAGTAGGGAGAGACAGTTCGTTGTCAAAATACAGGAGGGCTAGAATGGTATAGACATGATCCCTCGGGCATGCTGACACGGCGGAGGTAGGGGATGCCACAACTCAGGGGTCCGAGTGGTAGGATGTACGGTCCAAAAGTTGTCTCATTACGTATCCATCATCTCTCGTTGAGCATCAGCGATCACAATGCAATCGGCGCTGTGAAAACTACCACGGTCCAGACGTAAAAATGATTCGTTGATTTTTAGTCTGGAGAACGAGTGATCCCGACGTCATTAGTGTGGCTCGTCAACTTTGACGGATCCACATTTCCGGCATTCTTGTTAACCAAAACGTAAGAATTCCCTCGCCTTGTACCGCTCAAGGGTGAACGATGCCTGGTGACGGGCGCATTCCACATGCCACTCATCATTAGAGGAGCATTGCCCTGAAAGTAGGAGAGGACAGTATTTAGCACCTTTTCCTCCTTGCTAGATTGACCTCCTTTCACATCTGCTCCGCCATCGACTTAAGTTCAATTCAGTTAGTGGAGACGTAGAGGAATCATAATTTGTTTGCTTAATACTTGCATCGTTACACAAGTATTATGATGGCTTCATGATAGGTATCTTTAGATCGTTCAAACCCGTTGGGACTTCATTTATTGATAGCCTTCTTGGAGAGCACAGGATTAGCATAATTGTCAATGGTGGACGTAGCTTCAATAACCCTTCTGCTGTGAGTCTTCGCAAATGCAGCCTTCCACAGCACATACATCCTTATGCAACATTTATCCCGGGTTTCCGGTATTAAATTCGATATTTTTATTCGGTTAATAAAGCGCCAAGATCATTCTCTGTAGAGGAACAATTCGTCGTTGACAAGCCGAAGGCCTGAGACGCCATAGACGCCCTTATGGCAATGTGTTAAAGCTCAGGGGAGCTCAATAATCCGTGTAATTAAGGGTGCGGTCAAAACAACTACTCTGTTGTCACAAAATCATGACCTTTTTGTCGTTTTATGGTTGAGGTTAAGTAAGAGGATTATTAAAGGCCACCATTCTGGAATTTTGCAATTGTGCTCTCATCGTTGCTGCGAAAATAGTGGAATATTTAACTTCCCAAAGGACTAAGCTTGACGGGTAGGTTGCATGACTATTCTCATATCCACAATATAAGAGACTCAAAATGGCCAAGAAGGATCAATGTGAAAACTTGCTCCCATTTGGAGGTTCCCAACTATGTGGAGCTTTTCAGTCTCTAGCAGTTTGGTGACTTGGAGCCCTACGCACACACCAAGTAGATTGAAGCAACTCGTGTCTCAGTCCTTTCAGAGATGAATGGAGGTACTGGATGCCGCCATGACCTCCGACCATTGGGACGCTACTTGTTAACTATAAAGTACTTGAAATCCATTGTAAAACCCTCTCCTACTGACTACAAGCACAAATGGGTAGTCGAAAATTTAGATGATTGAAAAACTGTTTTATCGCTGTACTGATTCGCTCCTGGGCATAAATTGAGCAACTCAAAAGCGCATGAATCTACAGTTACCATATTCGTACGCTGTGGTGATCCTTCGGGTCTCTTCAGTGCTTACCTTTTAATTTCATCTACCATTTGTCCCTGCTTTTTGAATACCGACCGACTACAATTGTGTGAAAACTAATGCGACTTTTCGGGTCCATAAAACTACTACAAAATGATTAATTCCATCGAAACTTGCCAGAGAGAATCTGCGATACTGAGAGGTGATAATCACACAAACAGCCAGGAAACCCTACAACCTAGGCAGATCTTCCAGTGGATCTCGAACCCTTATCGATTTCCAACTTTTCCGCGACTAGCCCTCCAAATAACCGCTCTGCAAAGAAAACTAACTGGGAGGAATCGTCGATAGATCACCGCGCCAACCACCCATTTTAATACTCCGAGAATCAAATCCTCATTAATTTAACCGAGGCACGTTTCCGAATGGCCACCGAAAATGGCCCCAATACGCCGGAGTAGTGTGGCTCTACAAACGTGAACTAAACGCCCCTTTAAACAACTCATTCATTAGTCTGACGTCAATAGTTGCAAGAATACTTGCAGGTAGCAAATTACTTGATCAGTTATCTCTACCATGTCTGTAAGCTTCCGAAGCTGTTTGGGAAAAAAAACCCAATGTGAATCAAAAGTCCGAAACAGAATATTGGGTCAAGGAAATATATTTACATTACATGAAGGAAGAAGAATGCAAAACACCTCATTTTATATCACAGTCAAGACGTTTTTGAACGAGGTGACACTCGGACAGTGAAATGACCTATTCAGGAAGCAGGATTAGTTAATAATACGCAGCAAATTACAAGTTGGAATCCTTGGTATTTCTGCATTCACTATGCAACTAACGCCAAGACTTGACAGACCACCCCTTAGAAGTCCACAAGCAAAAGCCAGAATCTAGAAAATTGGGGGAAAAACATTGAGATACCATCTCAACACTTGGGTTGTATAACTGACTTGGCTCAATGCGAGTGAGATACGGAAAATCACTATCAATGAGCACATACACATCCTAGAAAATAAGTTAAACTTGATCATCTTACGGCATTATTCGTTTTCAATGTACTAATATCCTTCTGGAAAAGGTGAGACCAGTATCCCCTGCAAATAAACTTGACGATTTCTATCTCTGATGTAAACCGAGGACTATTCTTCGTTAATCTGATGACTTATTAATGTCACCACAAAATACCTTTCAATGGAACGTTGGCCAATACGATAACCCATGTTCTCGATTAGATGTATAGCTGTTGTATGTCCATCAGAAAGCTATTGACATAAGGCTAGAGTAGACGTCATACATGCTTGGTCTGATTTGTAAAATATTTAATAATTTCATAAAATAGAAACTCGAATGACTGCCTCACGCCGTCACAATGCTCTTCCATCACTCACGCCCTCACACTACCTTCCCAAAAAAGTGCACACGAAAACAATTCCGCGATAACCTTTGGACCTATTCAAAGTTTTATAAAATTTCTGCGAAAACTATAATCTTAAGAACTCAAGGCATTTTGACCGATTTTAGTCACAGTTAAACAAAATTTTTGAAACTGTGGCGAGTTTATTACAGGTTGCGTTAGTGTACTTGGCCAAGCTCAGTATTTATAGTTGTCTATCCACTTGATATTTGAAGGGCAAGAGAAAACATCATATTTAATCTGAAGGTCACAGTCTCATCAATGCACATAAACAGGTTAGGAAAAGACCTTAGCAAGGGGTTTTCCTTGCTCAAACCGAAGCCTTAGGGGTTTTTAACTAGCGGATTCCTGCTCTTAATGTAGATTAAGCTAATAAGGACTGAGACCAATCTTCCTACCCATGATCACACATAATACAATCTCTTTTAGTTGAAATGATGAAAATTTATCGCCCCGACCCTTTCATGAGGTGGTACCAGTTCACAGTAAAGTGGGAGAAGACATATGATTAATATAGCGTTCCGAGACTCCCTGAAGACGAAAGAAGACACAACACTCGGGCAGAATATATATTCAGCGCAGAGAAGGTGTCTGGGCTATTGGCATGGCCCGAAAGGCCAGCCCACCCAGCGAGATACAAGAGGGCTAAATCAAAGTACAAAAGTGGCGCCTCACCAATACCGAGGGATAAACCACTATCTTATTACTCTAACGTATTTAAGAACCGGGTCTATTGGTATGTTCCTGAGGGCATGTCGCCAAGCAGAAGTATTACGTATGGAGTCTTAAGTACCTGCGCAATTAAACGCAGAGTTAAACAATGTACCAGGGAATTACAAAAACCGTGTTTCATCGACAATAATTCTGCATGTTTTTAACTTTTATTTTTGGCATATCTGTTGTCCATTAAAAGCTTAAAAACACGCAGTACCATGACTTCTGTTATTCGGAGGGAGTAACTTCTACTTGGTATTCTGCCCTCCAATATGAAAACATTAATCACAATTACCATCCGTCTTGGTATCTGCTTAATGAGCCTTTGTGAGCAGAATCTCGTTCGCCGATCAGGTAGACATCTTAGTACAATTGGATTCGAGCCTTAGCCGCAGCCACTCACACCCTCTGTACTCTAGTGATGAGACTCTTCAAGCTGGTGTACCTTGTTACGTTCTCAGCGGTGAATCGAAGGCTGCTTAGTGGAAAGGCAAACAAAAAGGCAATATAGTGACACACCTTTGATGGCCTTTTGAGGTCGATGCGCCATCGCTTGGTAATTTTTGTGAGGGCAGCATCATCGTTAGCATCCTTATTCATTCAATAAAACCGCCAATTAGGCAATGAATCTGGACACGTAGATAAGCTACATTATATGCGGACTAGTGGTGTAACGCTCAATGGGTACGAGAAATTATAAACCTAATGGCCAGGACCACCACTTGCTTGGCTAATATCAAAGAGCAGATGTTGAAATATCAGGAGCAATAAGCATCCGTAATTTGTCCTGAATACTAATTAATTCATGGCTCAACCTTATTTAATCAAGCTGCACTTTTGAAGAACCTCAAAAATATTCTCACTTTCCATCTGATTTTCCAATTCTGGATGATCACGATTATGTGACTGTGTGACTACGAACAATCGCAACACCTGTTTTACTGTCATTTGACGAGGTGCGGTTCAAAGACTTTCTACGTTTGGTTCATTCCTGGTTGGATATTCCAGGATAATAATGCAAAATGAGTTTATGCGATGCACTAGTCAGCTTATCTAAGTCTGATGTTCTCAGCGAGGCAAACATTCATTGTAGGGCAGAGCCTGTATTGCCAATATGAGCAGCCCCTCTTCTCCTTTGAGCATCGTCCCGACACTCCCCTTGGTCAACCTCCCCCGTCGGCCACCACAACGTAGTCGGTGCTGAAGGAAAAAACACCTACGAACCAACCGCTCCGGTCATCGAATTAGCGTGCAATTGAGAAGGTATTTGATCGCGCCGTCACTGATTTCAGCAATTCCACATGGATCTGGAGTTTTGTCCTGTTTGGAAATCGTATTACGGGAAAGGGGAATGTGCTGGCCACCCCAAATTTACATTACCAGTCGTAATAACGCTCGTCTAAAAGCAGGGTCATTTAGTAATGGACGATGTTTTGAATAGTTTCGTGGCGATAATTTATGGCAAGTTCCCTCGGCAGAACAATTAACGCGCGTAAAACACCGAAGACCCATTTTTATGTAAATATCCGGCTGAAGTAACAGAGCGACAGCAGACCCTCACTAAGCCCATGGGATATGCATGTATTAGGACGCTCATGCGGGGATGCCTTGATTGTTGGAGGCCATTGGTTTGCCTTGCATTAGCACCAACTTTTGGGATTTATATTCATTAAAAAGGGAAAATTGGGGAGAGGTCGACTTGAAATCACCCATCGGCACCTCGCCCTCATTGAAGTGGGAGTCTAACGTAGATATTGCAACTTCCGCCAGTGTAAACAATCACCCCAATGGTGGAAGTATGACACCTTAATGAGGCAATTGTGGCAGTCCATTTAGTTCACCTGCTTCTTTACTGATGCGTTGTTAAATGGACCACCAAGACAAGCAAAATTAAACAGGCCCCTCCTGCAAAGATATGTATTCCTCTTTGGCCTTTTACCTCGTACTTAGCAAAAAATTTGTTCCCTTTTCAATGAAGACGTTCACTTAATGTCACCACGGAAAGGAGGGAGGTGTTAGGGCTAGAGTGCCTTGTAGCATGGTTTCCCTATACCAGTATGTAAGCAGATGGATTGGAAAGGTATCCAGTGCGTTGTTCTAGCGGGCATCGGACATTTCAAGTCCGACTTTTGTTTATGAAAGGCTCTCCTTCATTGTGTTTAAACCGGTGAAATGCTGAATACTAAGGGCGAGAAATGAAGGTGGCACCAACGGAAAGCCATCTTAAACCATTCAAGTTTTCCTTAAACGCTGCAGTAGGTATATTTTTTTGAAAGATGCTCCTATCTTTCACCTCAACATTCGTTCCGGGTTGCCGTATTCTTCTAAGCACAAATATTTTGGTTATATTGTAGTGTCTCGTGGCTTTCAGGAGAGCTGGGGGGCTACAGGCATGGCTTGGGTACTGTGCCACGCGATGGAAGTACAGCCTTTGAAGACGCGTAGTTGGACTAGTAGCCACTCTCCTCTTTTGAGCTTTGCCCCCTAGTCCCCATGGCCATTCTTCCGTATCCGGGGCACACAACATAGTTAGTAGTTTAAAAGCCATCTACGAACCAGAAACGGCAGTCATTGAAGTTTCCAGCATTCGATTATAACGTCCATGTCGCGATTCGACAATTCCACTGTGTCCAGTGCTTCGCCATATCCTTGGACTCTATGGGGGCGGGAGAATGCACCAGATATATACATCTCAATGCCAAACAATGCCCATTGAATAAATAATTTCTTATATCAGCAGCTAGTTATGGGGTGAAGGCATCGCTTGTTAAATTTAATCACCATCGCCATGTGGATGTCGTCGACACCCTTATAATGAACTGTTCAGGTCTGGTGTCGCTTCAGTTATCAATACCCCTCTTGTAGAAAACAAGATTGGGGTAAGTACCAACAATAGACGTCATTTTTAGCTCTTCTATTGAAGTCCTCACGAATTCGGTCATTCGCGGCGGGTGCTCCTCTTCCGTGGGGTTAAAGTTGGGTAATCAGCCATAGAAATTGGGACATAATCAAGCTTAGATGATGTGGAGACTGTTAGCATGACCGAATTTCATGTCACAAAGTGAATATGCAGTCAGCGGAAACTAAGGTGCCCTCGTAGTTAAATTGGTCATCAGATCACCTCAGGACAAACGTCCAATTTACTTTGTATCAATGCTCATCTTTTATCCCCGATTGACGTTGTTGTAGGAAGTGATAAAATCAAGTATATACCCGACATTTAAAAGAGTTCAGGGTTCGTCTTCTCACGTTTCTTTGTCCTTTTGAGGAGTTCCAATTTGACATTAGATGAGAAATTAAATATATCTCACCACTTACGCCTAACCGTAGACTTGGAGGTTGAACCCAGACGGTGGAGGCAAGCGGTCTGGTAATGGCTAAAGACGAGAAATTGTTCAAGTTTCCGTCATTTTCTGTCCTACCACAGGAGTAATCGTGAGAAATGGAACAGTACGCTTTTTTTTTCAAATCTGAATTTTATGCGTGCATGTTAGGGCAGCCAGGCGGAAGAAGGAACTGGTGCTCGTTCGCTGATGGCTGAATACAATCCCTTCTCCCACAAGTTCGAAGGTCTTTTAATCTAAAAGTTACAATCTCTCACCTTCCCCATGTGTTGGCGGATGGGTCATTTGGCCATTTGTTCCTCGGCGCACTTAGGACTCATTTGCAGGGCGGCTTTTAAAAAGGCCAATGTTCAGATTATCTACAATTCCAGGACAAAACCGCCATTTTAGCATTCTAGAAGCTTCCGCTCGGGAGTTGAATTCCCGGACGTTTTGGAACAATTCCAGATTTGTTCCCTTGTTATGTTCGCCTCATTGACCACCATGATGTGAAGATAAATTGAGCAAGTAATAATAGCTTCACTAAGGTCAAGGGCATTCAAAATGATGGGATGGCAACCAGTCTGGAATTCCAGACAGCAGACACTCTCTTACACTCCATACAACTTGGATTTTCACATTATCAAGACTAAAAACCTCGTTTTTTTGGGCCATGTCTACCGGTTGCTCCAGCTGGGATCGTAGTAGTGTCCCTGTCATAACAGTCAAGCGGTCCAGTTAAGTGCCAAATGCTAAGGTTACCTTCGAATCCCAGACATTTCGTACCTGTTAAAGACCAATTTTGAATGACCAGGACACCCCAGTTACACCAAATGTGAGGATGAAGAGAAAATGTTCTATTGCGCAAAGTGAAGCTCTCTAGCACGCCGTGGTATGGGAAGATTACGGTGGATATTTTGTACTTGATTA